CGCAGGATGTGGCAGGTCAGGGAGAAACGCCAGACATTGTCATTATGAGACGGACCCCCTACCCCACCCACATATAATTGCTACAATGTAAAATTAGAACCATGAAACAATAGCACGGATGTTGTCTTCCTGTAGGTAAAATGATTATTTACTCAAAATATAAGCACCAGGATAAAAATAATATTGGAAAATGTGTGTTCAAAAATTGAACCATATGATACAGAGGAAATACCTTTAGAATCAAATCCAGGAGACTTTTAAGGTAATTCGGTAAGGTCCAAGGATAAGGCTACAGATAGTAGTGGACACATGCACTGGAAGTGGCAGATCTTTCTGGCACCTTCGTTGACTATCTGCATCCAGATGGGAATGGACCAGACAGCAGGCCCTCTGATGTCCAGGGGAGGTCCGGGGACCTGGTAAGGTTTCAAATATTCATCAGGATTCCTGGCATTCCTGCCACTCTGGATTAGTACACGAGGTTCCATGATGGGTGAGATGGCCCTGGAAGTCTGAGCAGGACCGCAAGCATGAGAGATGTGGAGGGAGAGAGCAGAGTAGGCTTAGATGGCTAGTATTTTGTGCCATGTCTTGAGGTCTAATTTGGATCAGATGTGGCCAAAGTGACACACTTGTCTTTCACCACCACACAGCCATTTCTGACCTTAGGGCTTAATTTGTACTGAGCCACAGATACGTATTTGACACGCTCTGTCAGTCACTTATGTGACAGTCAGAGGGGGGCTGAGCATGCATGAACTATGGAGGTACTTTGAACTTAATATGGGGGATACTTAGTGGCTGGGAACTGAGGATAACTGGGTAGTAGCTTAGCTTTTGAAAGTCAAATTACAAGAATTACAAATTCTTTTGCTAATGTAATGTATAATTTCTCATATATATAAGAATATCATATTACTTGCTCAACATAGAGTTGAAACACCTTTAAAACTTTGACCAACTAATTCATAAAATTCAAATAACAACACATGAACAGCACTAATAGTGGACATATGTGAAGCTGAGGGCAATCATACAACTGCAGAAGATGATGAGGGAGGAAGGGAGAGCTTCTGAACATCATAAAGTTTAATGAGTCTCATTTGGTTCTCATTAGAAAGTGCCTTTCTTAACCTTGACACGCGTATGTGTCTCACACTATACAGGTACGTGCAATGCTCCGGGGTGTGAAGTGAACCTCGTTTAAATGGAAGTGCTTACAGTTCATTAAGTACTTAGACCTCGTGCTGGAGCCTCCGTACCATTGTGAGGCTATGGCATCAGACAACATGCAAGATGTTTGGTATCATTCCAGTGAGATGCTGTGCCTGCTACAGATTCTGTAGAGCTGTGTATCTGTGGCTGGGGGCATTTGTTCCCATATTCAGGTTTGTTTGTACCGTTGAGCGCATCAATCTGTTGTTTTTGATGTCTGTGATTTTATGAGATTCTTGGGTGTTCATCAGTACTTTTGCAATACTTGAGTGTGTGGGGAACTTGGATCTTATAGTGTGTGGTGGGGGGGTGTTCATAACTGCTGATAGTGCCTCCCTGCCCCGTGGAGCGTGTGTGTGTGTGGGGGGGAGCTCCAGGACTGTACTGGTATCTGGTCCCCACAATGTATAATATACATGACCACACACCTACACACGCACTCGGGGGGGGGGGGGGGGTTGGCCACCCCATGGGTGGCTGATGTTCTCCTGCTGAGTCAATATTATCCATGTGCTCTCATTTCAGAGCTGGGGAGGAGCTGGCATGGGCGAGTACCATGGGGTGGTACTGGGGCGGGGGGTAGGGGTGACAGGGTGCCATCACCACATGGGAGGAAGACACAGCAGCTAATGGAGGGGGCTCAGACATGGTGTTTTTCCTTCTAATTAAGAGAACAAACACTCAGACTGGGCTGGGCAGATCGGACACGGACCCAGGCATGGTGAGACTAGGGCTCCCCCCCCCGCCTCGACTAGATGTGTCCCCACACTAGTTAGGGGGTCCAAGAGACAGACCTTACCTTCACTGGAGAGTGGGCCAGCTTTTGTTATTATATGGCTTTTTTATATTTAGGTTAGCATGGAGAGTAACGCTGCTGTCTCACACCGCCAGGGTTGGGGGCTTTAAGGTGGGAACTACACCCTAACTCCTTGTGTACAACTTGCATGTACTCTCTGTTGCCAAGGTTTCCTCCTACAGTCCAATGGCAGGGGATTAGGTGAACTGGTGATGTGAGTGAATGGGCGCCGCCTAAGATGGGTGTATCCCGTCCAGCATGCTTCCCTGCCTTGCGCCCTCTGCTTACTGGGATAGGGTCCAGGCTCAACCCTCTGACCCTGTACTGCATAAACAGAGTGGATTTTTCTGCTGTTCTTTCTTTCTAAATTCCAGTCTGTTGCAATAGTTAATGAATGGGGACCACTGGACGTCATTGCTGACTTTTGCGCCGCTAAGGCTTTACTGGCTATCGTTGAAACCTGCATAAGAATATTAGGACATAGCCTTATTCTCACTCATGTCAACTGGGTTGCATTCCCATTAGTAGACTGCTTATGGAGGTAGATAGATTACTGGATGACTACAACCAGCTGTGTGAGCTGCTGCAACTTGTAGAGTAACAATAATACTCTCAGCAAACAGCCTTGAGGTGAGCAAATGATGCAAAATATGACAGAAAATGTCTTCCTGCGAGTTGTCAGGCAGTAACAGGCTCCATATGAACATCCAGATGTAAAGTTTGATGTATCAGCATCTCAGTTTGGTTTTCCGTGGAGGAGGAGTTGATGCAGAATGATGATTATGGCGATTAAGATGGCAAATACTTTGACCAGTGTAGGTGTGCTGTTTAATCCTGGGCTGTTTGCATCCCGAGGGGTGGATTTGGCGCCTGTTAAAATGAGAAGGAATTTCTGAGGAATTGTGCTGCCTGGTTGCTTGCTGAATGGTACTCCTGGATTCTGCCAAAACTGTAAAGACAAAATAGGCTTTGAAGTCATATCAAATAACCATTTTTATATGGCGCTATAGAAGTGAGGTTTTGGAAACCATGAAAGCAATTACTCAGATCCTCTTTCGGTGTTTTGGTTTAACTCATACATACTCAACTTTTTTCCTCTTCATTACAGTTGCCTTTTATTCCCAGTCATGAAGAAAGTCTGGGGAGAAACAGCATAAAGACAGTGTTGGACTATGGCGCACAGTTAACTCAGTTAGCAGTGCTTGGTAGGGGGGCAAAGCCCAATATGTCTGTCGTCTCCCTTTCGCTAAACTTGCAGGGGCCTCTGAAAGACACACAGCAGCAGTGCTGACTGATGGACAATGTCAGTCATCGCTCCTACAGCCATCACAGACAGACCTACAAGGCTTCCTCTGTATTCGGTGGCCTCTGTCTGTCTCCTGGCAATGAGAGACCCCCACTACAAAACCTTAAATACACATGGAAACATTTGCCATCTTGTTGTATTTTTATTCGTAGTTCATTTAGTCTGCTTTAGATTTGTAGTTCTATGTCTTTGACTATTCATTCATTTCATCAGAAGGAGACCAAAACTACTCAAATACCAACAAAGGATAAGCAGTGAAAAAGCCTTTATTTGGGGAGGGGCGCATGTTGTAATCTTGCTCTCTGATTAACCAAGATATTAAAGGAGCTAAAGACCATGAACTGCTGCTTAAGATAAGGGATTAAAGGGTTGAACAGAGGACCTCTGTGTCCCAGCTCACAGTCTGCGTCCATCTTGGGGCATTGTCTCCAGACACAGCAGAGAACCTCTTCACATTGTCGTCATCTGCCGTCACCCATGTTCTGGGAAGAGAAAGACCGTCTGTCCTGGCAGAACATCACACAGACCAGAGGAACAGATACAGCTGGCCCACACAGACCGAAACTTAAATACACAGTGACAGTGCACGCACATGGACAGATACGAACTCACAGTTATATAAACCTTGTAGATTGTGTAGGCTTACGTGCCTAAATCTATTCACCATAAAATTTTACATGCACATACCATGCACATAAAAAATACCCACACTGGAAAGCAAGCACATTTACTTGCCAGCACCTTTCACGAACACAATGACGCAGAAGCCTACAAAAAGAGTGGTTGATAAGTAACATCCTGAATTCCAGAGTAAGATCCTGTTTTCTAATTCCATTGTCTTTCTTTTTCTTTGTTACTATCCCATCCTACCATAACCTTTTTCGGTTCATTGACCTTTAAATTGTTAAAGATTTTTTTTAAGCAGGAGTGTATGAAGATGTTACTGAGTATTTTTTGCACCGATTATACTTTCTGGTCATATACTGCCATTAGCACATTAAGCTGTGAGCAGTATGGTAAAATAGTAACACGACTGTTTGCTTCCTGGCTGATGGGCCATAAGAAAATCGAGCCGTTAGCAGAAAGCTAAATGTTCACATCTTTTCTTTGCTGATGCAGCTCAGATATAGCTGGAGATATACCTCGATTTTGAGTTTGTGCCTGATATTAGCTGTAAGGATTTGTACTGTTAAAGCAACAAAGCTTCGCTATGGTATTAACGGGTAATGACCGAATGCAGGGAATGTGTGCAAAAATCTCGATTAGGGTTCCAGTCCTTTTAGGAAGATCAGAAAAGCTCTCGAGTTTACCTGTCTGTTATATACTGTAGGGGATTGAACACGTGTAGGTCTTAAGACTGACTATGTTCCACTGGACTGCATACTTTTTGTCCTTTCCTTGTACAGCCCCTTTTTTAGGATTGGTGCTCTGTTCCTCTCTGTAGCTGCCTCAGATTGACATGTCCGCTGAAACACACAGCTACAGCTGAAAAAAACAGCTTGATACAAAACAATCATATGCTAATGTTTAAAGATTGAAAACACACAAATGCTGAGTGAATTACAAAACCATTAACTGCAGACTGAAGCAGTCTTTGGTGGTCTTTAGTATGTACTGTAAATATTTTTCCTATTATGTTCTCTAAAGTTAATGTCTCTGTTTCTCCTCACCTTTCTTTCACAGATCTACTGGCCACCAACAGATCCACCATCTTCAGTGGTCAATGGGGTTATCTCAGCCTGAGCTCTGTGTTTCTGGATGAATACCGCGATCGTCTTTTCCTGGGAGGCAAAGATGTGCTATACTCGCTACCTCTGGACCACATGTATTCCGATGTCAAAGAGGTATTTCCTCCTTATCCCACTTGTTATACACTGAGTCATTTATATTCATATTCCCTAATGGAAACAGGGATTCCATGGCATAGTTTTTAGTCATGTCTAAATCAAGAAACACAATTCTTAAACTAAAAGCGATGTCAGTCATGTAAAGACCTCTTTATCAGAAGTATCAGAAGTCTTATCCATACACATTAAAAAAACCTATAATTAATGTCCATTTTTGAAATTCCTTCTAAATCCCCAATATATCCCTAGGCAGCACGTTGTGATGCTTCTGTTGTCACACATACTTTCTATTAATCCACATGGCTTTACAACTTCTCCACTTATCAAGTTTCCTCAGCTCCTCCACTCAATACCTGAAGAATCCACCTCCTGGCTGTGATTCACGGTGCCCCTCACTGCACCATAAACTTGGGAATCTTTAAATCCCCCCCTCATCGTGGCTTCACTTGGCTCGGCTGTCGACCTTGTTAATCTGCCTGAGTGCCAACAGCTTGCAGATTAATTATCCCAAGTCACGCCTCTTTCAGATGGGCTGTGTGAGGGGGGCCCTTTTGGTGAGGGCCAACCTGGGGCCCCGCTACTCCTTCATATAGGGAGGAATAGAGGGAACCAGGATGATGTGTTAGCAGGGAAGGCAGATCAGAAGGAGGGGAATTTGCAACAAGACCAGACACTCAGTTGGGTGATTGGATGGGTCATGTTCCCCCAGAGACAGGGCAGTGTTTTAAGTGCTGCTTAATTTCTAGCCCCTGGGGTATCTCAAGACAGCGCCGTTTAAAAACACCTCACAATCTCATCTCCACAGTAAAAGTTGTTGTTTCCTATTAGTACAAAGGTTACTAACAAGTTAACTATCAGACATTTTTACATCTGTAATTTATTTGCCTGAAATACTGCAATGTATATTTACAAAAAAGAAAAAAGTGAAATGATTTTGAATGAAGTGAATAAATAAATGATTAAATATTTAATATTCATTTTACTTAAACAGATTAATAAATGATTTATTTTATTGACTTATAGGGGTGTAATGGTACACAAAAATCACAGTTCGGTACATACCTAGGTTTTGAGGTCACAGTTCGTTATGGTTTCAGTACAGCGGGGGTAAAAGAAACTAAACAGGAATTTATTAAACAGTAGTTTGCTCAGCAAAATATGACTGTCTTTCGTAAAGTCTCTGTCAATTCTGCTGCAACCTACTAATGAAAAAGTAAAAATTACATAAAAGTACATCAATATACATTCTCTCAAGTAAATAAAAATAAAATAAATATCCATTAAAGTGCACATTTAGAAAATTAACTACAGTACACCTGATCTGTACTGTATTCACATTAGCAGCTTTCAGCTTCATATTTGAGCTGTGCAACACAAATATTGTCTCAAAAAATACAAAGCATAACAAAATATCATGGTGCAGCTTTTAAAAAAAATTCCTGCCCTGTACTTGTATTCACGTTAAAAGCTTCCAGCTTCACATTAGGACGTATGCATGCATGCATAGCGGCTTCATCCGCCCCTTTCTGAATGCTGCTCCAGGGAAGGTTTTTTTTACTTCACCGCTAGCAAAACTCATATGGCTAATCAGTACCCCATTGACTTTTTAAACTAATTAAGTTAATTAATTAATTGAGCTGTTGTTGCAATAAAACAAATATATGGAATGGCTGAGCTGCCCCTGTTGAGAGGTTTGGGATTCAAGTGATGCTCTTCTAACCAACAAGATATCAGTAACTGTTTGAGGGACAGAACAAAGTTCTTGTTTATTATTTATTGTGTTACAGTTAATTTGCATATTTTCTAATGTTAAATTGTGTTTTGCTTCTAAGCACATGAACACTTACTACCCATATAAATAGCTTTGAAAATTTCCTTTTTCTTTGGCATGTCATTAGAAGACTTTTAGAAGACAAAGTACTGTGGTTGTAGGGAGTGTCTGTGTGCTTTGCCGAGTTTCTTTTTCTCTTGATACTGTTCAAGCTTTGTGCTGGATTTTGAGGAACATCTCTGTTTGATGTACATAGAGCCTGGTCCTGGCTCTAAAGTGGTGCACAGAAATATTCAGCTTTGCACAGGAACCTTGACTAGATGTAGTGTTCCTTTGATAAATAATGGCCACCTAGGCTGGAATACAAATCAAACAGGAAGCCAAGCATTCCCACCCACTGAAGGTCTCAGAGTTACAGTCATCGGGAAGGGGGTGGGATCCCAGCTTTCGACAGAGACCCTGCCATTGTTGATCTGGGTGTAACATCACAAGCATGAATGTGTTCAGTACCTTTCTTTTGTACCAGTAGGAGAGGGATCAATAAAATAGTCAAAATACTAATAAAATAGTCAAAAAATCTCCATGGTAACCTACAAAAAAATTCATAGAAATGTATTGACCAGGCCTTTTTCATTGTAGTGGCAATATACATTCAGTCACTGGTGATGTCCGGCTGAGTGACCCTCTGTCAACATTGGTGCTCGGCTCTCTGCATAAGGAGATGGAGCAAGCAAGAGGATGTTGGCAGGATCTCAGTGTCACAGCGGGAGTCACAGTGGGAGTCACAGTGGGAGTTACAGCGGGAGTCACAGTGTGAACAAAACCCCATTATATATGAAAAAGCATTTTCTTTTGGTACTTATCAAGTTGTTTCTCAGTGAATTCTGTGAGGCAGTAATTCACAACCCTGGGGACTTGTGGAACTGCAGTGACCCATAATTATATGATCTAATTATGATTTCAAAATCATATGTCCCACCCATCTTAATAAATGTCCAGAAGTGGCCTACAGCTGACAAAAAAAACATATGCCCTCCAATTGTCTTAAATTCGGTTTTCAGATAGGACACAGCTGTACTCCATTTGCGGCTCATATATTGCATTGTGTTTGTATGATTTCACATTATTGTAATAGCATATTTTTGAATTTCTGTTGAAAACTAACCTTTTTCTGTTACAAAATGCTCCATCTTAATAAAACCTGTATAATTAATATTTAAAATGGATGGCTTAATGTCAGTATTGCTCAATTTCGTAATTTAATTTCAAGTCAGTATTCTCAGCAACACATTCCTAACAGATATTCTTTATTGATCCCAGGGGGTAATTCTTTTGTATACAGCAGTGAGGTACATAAAGATACAAACATTTAGTGCAAATAGTAATCACAGTACACAGTGCAAACAGTACACCGCACTAATGCAAACAAAATATTGTTTTGCATAAATAAGTATATACTGTATGTATAAATTAACCAGTGATTTATGTGCAGTATCTGTTTTAATGATGGAATGCTGTCCTGGCATGTTATACAGTAGCTGGGGGGTAGGGGCTGGCACACTGGGAAGAGGCTCTGTACTGCCTGATGGAAGCAGGCAGAAGTGATTCCCGGCAGCACTTCCTGGCACACCATGTTGGAATGAGCCGGTGGCTAAGAGTGTTCCAAGAGAGCGCCTCCTGGAGGGGGGGGGGGTGGTGGGCAGAATGCATAATGTTCTCCAATTCCGCCATCATCCTCTTCTCTGCAAATGCTTCCTGATGAGTTTCTTCAGGCATTTGCCATCATATTTCATATTTACTGAATGTACCACTGACTGTAAGATTCACTTTCAAAATATACCCTCCTGTTTATATTTTTACATGTAGTATATAGTATATTAATTTTATGGGTTTTATAGTATTGCATATAGTATTTACTTATGTATTTTTTCTCCCACACTTCAGATTGCCTGGCCCCCACTTCCTGGAACTGAAAAGGGCTGTGTGCTGAAAGGCAAAGACTCCAAGGTAAGCGACAGCCCTCAGGAATCTTTAGCATTTATTCTCTTTCTTGTACTTTCATTCGATCCCTTTTTAACGGTGTTGTTCATATAGACCGTCTTAACTGAATCATTATCATCCAGCAAACCCAGTAGGTACAATACTTTTGATTAATGTAATACAAGTCAAATAAACCATGGAATCATACCATAGAAACATCTTGCTTCAGTATTGATTTTGACAGTAGATTTTTATCTATGTTCTATAAAATCTCAGTGGTCAGATGTTGATAGGGCTTGCCTAATGTGTGCAGTAATTTAGCCCCACAACTCATATGGGCCAAAAATGCTGGTAGGTTCCCATTGAAATTCTCTTTTAACCTGTCAAAGTTAAGATACATCAAAGAGGTCTGATTCATGGAAAGTAGGGCTCAGACACTAGAGAAGCCTAATTACTCTAATTGAAAGCTTCAGGAAACTGGTGATGGGCTTTATGTTTCTGTAAAGTGGAAAGTATTTGGCATATATTTGAGCTTTTTTATCCTTGTGTTAACGACACCAAGTGAAAGTGCCTCACCATCTGCTATTGCTTACATTTCTCGTGCAATAAAGTTTGAGTTCAAATGTGTCACTGCATGGGGAATGAGATTTAAAGTATCCCCAATGGAGCCCATTGTGGGCTGTAGGTAATTAGTGTGTTTGAGGTGGCAGGTGAGGCAGCATTTAATATCAGGAGTTATAGCACATTTCCTGTCCTGTCACCATTAAAAGTATCATGAATAGATACAGGTATAAAAACCACTATTCCCTGGGGAGTGTATACATCATTATAGGTTATGATACAAACCTTAAGGTCTATGCATTGCAACTCGATTTCACCTGATTAGGCCAGTCTTGCTCCTTGGCCATAATGCTGCCTCTAATGGGCAGGGTATGGTCCTGTTAGCATGCCCGTCTCGCCATATTTTTCCTTACAGCTCAAAATACGTTCAAAAGTATGTTGAGAAACTCAGCCGCAAGCCTTATAAAAGCGGTAGAGAAATGTTAAACCAGACTGGATTGAATCTGATGTACAGCATTACTGAGCATGTCCTTGTGAATGGGAATATGATATTATCTCCTTATAAAGGAGCATGCATGTAGAAATGGCTGCTTCGTTATTGGAGTTACCCATGAAGACGCAATAATGGACTTTTATGGTGGTATTTACAAAAATAGATTAATGGCTGTGTAAGTATTCCATGCAGCTATTGTTGGAAGGGTCATGTCTGCAGTGTCACACATATTAATGTGCTCCTCTCTTTCTCTTTATACAGCCACTCCCCAGGTTACGATGGAATTACATTCCAATAAAAATATCATAGGTCGGAAATATCATAAGGCAAAAATGCATTTTAATAATGTACACCTAGCCTACCTTAAACGTGCCTAGAACATGTACATTAGCCTACAGTTGGAGAAAATCATTAACACAAAGCCTATTTTATAATAAAGTGTTGAAAATCTCATGCAATTTATTGAATAATGTACTGAAAGTGAAAAACATTTACCCATCGTAAAGTCGAAATATCGTAACACGGACCATCGTAACCCAGGGAGTGTCTTTATAATGATTTCTGCCCCCAGGCCATTAGGATCATTAATACCACAAAGAGCCAGCTAGAGCCAGCACTTTAAACATTTTCTTAAATATTTTTTTCATCTTTACAAAATAAATGTGTTCCTTAGACCTGTGAAGCAGCATGTCAAGGAAAGACGAGTGCGTCTTCTTTCAGCTCATTGTCAGTTGCTTGAGCAGCCTGCAGCCCCATGTTTATCCTCCTCCCTTGTTGTGTGTACACAGTAGGGTCTTGTTTGTGCTTTGCTGCAGGTCAGTGCATGGCACAGTGTAACCCCAGTGTGTGTCAGAGGTGACATGCGGGGCCTGTTTGTTTGGCTAACATATGCTGGCGGCTATTCAGAGGGAGCATCAGTCTAATTTCTATAGGAATTAGGGGCTGGTCAGCTTACCTTTTAACTGTAGGTGTTGCGTTACCAAAACCAAACCGAGGTCATTGTATTGTTCCTATTGTTCAGCCGGAGACTGACAGGATGATGGCTGAGCCGTACCGATCAGACAGTGAATGAGAATGTTTATGTTTGTATCTCCCACTATTAGCTGCTGAAGGCAGCTCAAAAAGTGCCATTAATGCAGATTATGATATAGAAATTGCTGTAAATACCACAACATACACCTGTTTGCTTCCAAAAGCTTGTTTTTTTAATTAAATAACCTAAATCTGCAGCTTTTAATAATTTTTGACATTTTTTTATTGTTCACAAGTATATTAATCATGTAATATTTCCAGCAAAAATGCAACTGAAAGTACCATTTTTGTTCTGTGTCGATTCCTGGATAGCGATAACCTTCCGAATCCCTTTGAAGGAGCAGCTTTGATTGACTACATAATGCGACACAGTGACGAGTCATCGCTCCGTATGGAACTGTTGGTCCCTGCCTTGTTTGCTTTGCGCGGTCTCGCCTCCCCAGCTTTGACCCTGCCCCTCGCTTTCATTAACCTCACAGCCCCATGGCAGTCCTCTTCCTCAAGTAGAAACCCCCCCCCCTCCAGCATGAGTCATCTGACTGTCTCAGGACCAATTGTTTAACAGGATGAGACCAAAATGTGAAATTATTTTGGATTCTATTACCTATTAAGGAGGAGACCAGAACATCCACCAGGCAGACTTTCCTGTGAGTTAGTAATGCCCTTAGACGCCGCAATGTACATGTGCCAGCATGGAACAGAGATGGACGGAGAAGATTTGCAGCAGTACAGATATTAGTCTTCAATGTATATTCAACAGTACAACTGGGAAGACACTGAATGCTGCTAATTCACCCAGCTATGTTGCTAATTTACTCAGCCATGCAGGGCTGCTACTTAAAATACATGCAGCTTTCTAGATTTTTGTGCAAATTTCTGTTTCCATAGGGACTAATTATATCTTTGTGGGGACTCTCCATTCACTTCTATGGGGAAAACTATAATCCCAACATGACAACGTTAACCCCTACCCAGCCCTAACCTTAACCATAAGTAACATAACTAAATACGAGACTTTTGGAATGTTTTATTTGTTGATTGCATTCATAGATCTTTGTGGGGACCTGGAAAATGGCTCCCAGAACTTCTAAATAACTGGTTTTTATTACATTCTGAGGAACATTTGGTCCCTGCAATGCAATATAAACCTAATCCACACACAGACACACACACACACACACACACACACACACAACAATTCACCTGGCAAATTATATGCCTTAAAAGTTCTCAGGAAATGTGCTTCCTGTTAGAGACAGGCTAATGACAAAAAAACCAAGCTGGACTGCTGGCTGATGAAAAGGCCAGAAATCATAACCATTGACTTGTCAGGCAGTGTTGTTGTTACTCTGGCGGATGGGCTGGTCATTCTTTGCACTGCCCTGCTTGGAACAGCTATGAGCACTTGAGTCACACGGAAATGTAGTCACCTCATGCAGTGTTTTCAGCTCTTTTCTGTTTAGTTTTGATTTCCCTTTGGCACTAAAAGTGGTAATGACTCCCCAGTTCAAAACCCCTTCGAGATGGAACAGGCTCAAAACTGACAGCTTTGTAGAGTTTATCCATCATCTACAGTAACTAGTGCATTTAGAGTGAAGAAGATGCTTTGGACAGAAGGCAGGGTCCGCTCTAGGCTGGTCAACGAGTCCAACACACGGTACCAACCAAGGACAAAGAAACCAGTGGGATCAAGGGGGACATGTCTCTCCCAGTATTTAATTTGGCTTCATTCAGCAACCCCCCCATTGAACAGATCATTGTGTTTGAATTATTAAGATGCCCCCCCCAGTCTCAAACTCTCTCCTGCGCCATGGTATCAACGCCCATGTTCCCTCACTAAGGGCAATATATTTTTTTTTTGGAGTAGCATGAAAAGCATGTTTTTGTATGAAAAAAGTCAGACAGAAACAAAGAGGTACATGTGAATACAGGAACATTCAAGACAGAAATGAATCTGGATTCAAACACACATCCTCTGAACTGAAGACAAAAATGCTGCTTTCTGTACCTTAGGCATACGATGTTTAAAATATTATGCAGGTAGGACTGTTGAAATTACTTATTACTTACAGCGAAAGTGACTTCTGCTAATCAATCTTTACTCCTTAGTAAAGAAACTGGACAAGTTACATTATGATATTAATGTTATAGCCAACGGTTTATAATTTATGAATAATTTAATTTCTTCTTGGCCAACGTATATAATACAGGCTGCTTCATGCTGAAATAGTGGAGTAATTAATCATAGATTATGCTTGTCAGCTTTTCAGACTTAGTTGAATGGTGCTGCCATACCAGGTGGAATGTCTTGATTAGGCATTGTCTGTTAAAGCAGGCAATGACATCATTTAATCCCCCAGTGTTCCAGGAAACAATCGTATTTACTACAGTGCCCTGGTACCTAGCGGTCAGCTGACGAGTTTGACCCAGTCACCCCTGTTGGTGGCAGCCTTTGGCTGGTTAGCGTCTGACCAGTCCATTGTAGATAATAGAGAGAAGGAAGAGGTCTTGTCCCTCACTTCCTGTAATACTTGGCATGTCTCTATCTTAACCCTTTTCTCTCTCTTATTTACTCATCTGTGGTTGGGAAACAAGCACAGGAAATGTCTAGCTTGTATTTGTAGTTTATTTTATCTTTGAAGTCGTTTTTCTTGGCTTTTGTCGATAACATGTGAAGACCAAGTTAAAATTCCAGAAACATAATGACCCAATAATTTTGTTTTTGCTATCAAAGTGTGCTCTCTGTTTAGGTCTTTCAGCTATTTCACAGCAGTGTGTGTGTGTGTCTTTTCTCCAGACTGAGTGTGCCAACTACGTCCGCTTGCTGCAGCCGTACAACCGCACCCATCTGCTGACCTGTGGCACTGGGGCCTTCCAGCCAATGTGCACCTTCGTCTACGTTGGACACAGAGGAGAGGTGAGGGCTTCTCTTACCATCAGTGGACAGACAGATTGAATGGTTGCTCAATAAACACTGATGCACAGAGGTTTTGGAGCATCCATCCTTTTTCTGAAACTTGTCCTATTCAGGGTTGTGGGGGGTCTGGAGCCTATCACACTCACACACCATTCACTCACACAAACACACCGATGGGGGGATTTCGTAACTCCTACTAGCCACAGCATGCTTTTGGACTGTGGTAGAAAACCAGAGCACCCAGTGGAAACCCCACGACGACACGGGGAGAACATGCAAACTGCACACACATGGATACATATCCATACACTAACGCTATACACTGCTATGTCATCATTATACTGTAGATGTTCTGCTCTGTTTGACTGTAGATGGTAGTGTAAGCAATGCATGATGGAAGGCCGATGTCCACCTTGATGACCTGCTAACAATGTTATTTTGATCTGATGTTTGATTAGATTGTTATGGCTGAGACAGGTTTGTACAGAACCAAGTCTACTTAATGAGTAATGTAGATAAAGTACTCCAGAGTACATGAAATATATGTGGTATTTTGAATAGCAGATGGAGCAACTGCATTATGCAATTGAGAAAATAGTTTTTGACATTGTTTGCAGGTGGGCTTGTTTGTTAGGTGTAGATGGGTCCCTGGCCTGTCCGTTGTACCCCCCACTGTACTTTGGACAAATACCAGCAGAATGGCGTTTGGTACCTGCTGGTCCAGGGGAGGAAAGTTCAACAAAAACAGGGGTAAAAGAGCATCAGGTCAGGTGTCATACCTCCCACAGAAAGGCCGAAATGCCTGTACCCTCTCTGTGGCCTGAAGGCAGAGAAAAACAAACAAGTTCATGACTGGCTAAATAGGTTGGTGAGCAAACTAAATAGATGGTTTCTGTGGACTTCTGTGTAGTGCTCAATGGGTAGATGGCACTGGCCCTCAGGCTCTGATACTGAGAAAATGGGCATACAGTCCGTTCCTTCGACAATACATCTGCCAGTGGGAAAAGGGAAATTGACTGGGTTTGAGGAATGACAACATCCAGAGCTCCCAACTCACCCTAAATTAGCCGTGTTTGTTGCTTGTTATCATTGCCAAACAAGGGAAGTGCAAGTCACTGCACAGTTGGGTGCTGCTGCCTTTTCTTTGCTGCAGTTTAGTCCCCAGCTGTGTTTTCATTCTCCATTTGATATAGACTTTGGCCAGGAATGGCGGGGTTACAGATCCCACCTTTCCCATGCTATCCTGCTCAAAGACAGCAGAACGGAGGCAGGTCACTCACAAGACTTTGGCCCATTCTGCTTGCATGCAGCTGGGGAGACACACAGCCAGCATAGGCTCTGTGCTTGAGAGCGAGGATGAGTTCATTTGATGTCGGTCAGGGAGGAGCCAGCGCTGCATGGAAAAGAGCCGCAGACAGGCCTCACCCTCCTTCCTCTGTTCTGCTGCCAGCGGGATAATGTGGGGAGGTGTTTTCAAGTGGAAAATGTGGAAAGGAGCCAGAGAGAACGAAAAGCAAAACGGGGCCGTTACATTTCAGCTAAAGAATTAGAATGAAAACAGTACTGGACGATTTCCTCAGCTAATATTTCCTCTGTTATTCTAACATGGGAGATTTCAATCCTGCCCAGGGTGTGTTAAAGTTTCCAGAAGGCAACTTGAGCACATCTGGTGTTTTTCGTAATCGAGGAAAACCTTGGGATCTCGTGTCGTTTGCCAAGATCCTGCTGTCCCCCTTTGCGCCCTGGGCGGAAGAGCTGGGCTTTGGGCATCCACATCACCTCATAGCTGCAGTTCCAGGGGAACACTGCTGACGCAGCACAGAGCTCTTGCAATTAGGCAGAAGGTTTCCCAGTCCCCCCCCCAACAAACACACACAAATCACTCCAACAATGAGGCCCTTCGTGACTCCTCCACAAAGGTAACTGGAAACATTCCAAATTCTGTTTACTTTTGGAAAATCTCTGTAGTTCCATGGATGTTTGTTTGTCTCTGAACTAGAAAAAACACACATGAGCAGCACTGTTTCACCTTCTGATACACATTTGCCTGAAATCACATATCAGTTGGAATATGATCAATGGTTGAACAGCAATAGTTTAGACCTCTAAAGCAGTAGGAATGTTGGGAGTGATAAGGCTGTATATTTATGAACAATAATAAGTTGTTAACAAGATCTTCTTTTGTCTCCTTCTTTTATAAGCATGTGTTCTCAATGGACCCATCTAATGTGGAAAATGGTAGGGGGAAGTGCCCCCATGATCCAAGTCACCCCTTTGCCAGCACCTTCATTGGTACGTCCCGCTCTTATCACACGTACCTACCATCACTGCCCAATATAATGGTTTTCATCATTTCCTGAACAGGCACAAATTCTGCAAGAATTATAAGAACCGACCTGATTTATCATGTTCATAGGCCCACAGGCCTCATAGGATGAAACCCCGAAAAGACTGCCTCTGACTGGCTGGCTGGGAGTATCTTTTAGGGTGCTTCCATCGCTCTGTTAATATAATAATGCCAGAGCTCACAAGGGGTGTTTGAGAATGGAAGGAATCATTTATGCTATCCTGGCTGACTAGGACTGTGAAAGGCCTCCTCTCTCTCCACTAAGCAGCAGCTGATTATGACTAACTGTATGTCCCAGAATGCACTTCTGCTGGCACAAAGACATGATGAGACAGCCAGTGGCTTGCATAAAGAGCTGGAACATAGTCACAGCCAGTCAGAGCGAGAAGGCTGGAGTGTGTATTGGGGTATATCCACTCCTAGAATGCAATATGCAATAAAAATGTAATATATTCAGAGCTCAGGAGGGATTTGATTTTTGCAATAACTGCTGAGAATGCACTTCATACATTAGGCACACGCAGAAAACACAAAATTTGGTTCACAAGTTCATCTCTTCTTCACAAGCTGATTGGGCCCTGACACAATTATGTACTATAACCATAAAGGGAGATAAAAATTGCTGATTGGGATAAGAGGGTCTTGTGTCACATGGTTGTAAATTGAGTCTGTGACCTAAATTCCTTGTCCCTCCTACTCATCTTCACCTCAGACCGATGAATCAATCCTGGATGGAGAGTATCCTGGAGACTTTTCCTGAAAGCGATTTGATCTCAGAATGAGGTTTAGTGGGGCTGGGTTGAAATTCAGAACATCCTTCAGGACCTGATGAATCTATCCATTTTAGACGTTTTCATGCTCCTTTTAGCCAACTGTCCTCTTTGGAGCAGAGCCACAAACTTTGTGCTCCTGTTTACTGAGAGTGTAATGGGATCCTTCTGTTCTTCTTTCCTACAAGAATGCTGACCTGCTGACAATTATTTGCTATCTTGAACTGCGCAAATATCATGTGAATGAGTTTGGCAATGTAGAGGAGTATAAACCGTTATCTCCATCTTTCCCATGCTCTGACATTAGAGTAATGATTTTTAGGTGATAAATCTTTGCTGGCATTGCTAGCATCAGGCACTTGTAATTACTTTTGTTTTGTCTTTGATTTTATGGTTCTGAGGCAGGATTATATTATCCATTTCAGTCTTCAACGGGCACATATAGCAATCCAGCACAGGTCAGAATACTGTACATTAAAAGGATTACATTTAAGGATTACACTGTACTGATCTATACAGATATAAAGTACTGTACTGATCTATATAGATATAAAGTACTGTACTGATCTATACAGATATAAAGTGAACCAGAATTGGCATGTTACAGAAGCCATCTGTCTGCCATCTCCTCCAGCTCACTTTCTCTTCTCCTTCCTCTGGCCCCAGGTGGAGAGCTGTACAGCGGTCTGACAGCTGACTTCCTGGGTCGTGAGGCAGTGATCTTCCGCAGTTTGGGCAGCCGCTCCACCATGAGGACAGAGACGGACCAGCGGTTGCTGCACGGTACTGGACCTCTGCTCCACAGCGACCTTCCCCTGTGGCATTGGCAGTTTAATGCAAACAGCTGCTTCCAATATGCTTATGAAGAAAACTCTCCCTTTTGCAAACAACGTCTTCATAGCTGAATAGAGATAATTTTCTTCTCTGTAAATCATTCCAAATTTAATATATACAGTATGCACTTGTAATATCTTTATTTTATATTTTCTTGAAGACCCCAAGTTTGTGGCTGCTCACCTGATCCCAGACAATGATGACCGTGACAATGACAAGGTCTACTTCTTCTTCACGGAAAAAGCCATGGAGACCAGCGACAGAGCTGGGGCCATTCACAGTCGGGTGGGGCGTGTTTGCGCAGTGAGTTTTGGCCACATTTTCTTGGCACTTATTAATTGTCCCTCCCCCCTCCTCCACCAAATTGTGGAAGCATTTGACTTGAAACTAGACAAACTAATACCACTGGGTCAGTAGAATGTGTTGTGTTGTATCAATGCATAAAACCCAAAAATATTATTAGGGATGTAGGAAGAGAATAACCCCATTTCCAAAAAAAGTTGGGATGTTATGTAAAATGTAAATAGAAACAGAATGCAATGATTTGCAAATCATATAAACCCATATTTAACTGAAAATAGAACAAATAAAAACATCAAATGTTGAAACTGAGAAATGTTATTGTTTTATGACAAATATATGCTCAATTTGAATTTTTCATGCTTCAAAAAAGTTAGGACAAGCAACAAAAGATTGGAAAAGTTGTGAAATGCTAAATCAAAACACCTGGTTGAATATCTCACTCTAATTGTGTTAATTGGCAACAGGTCAGTAAGATGATTGGGTATAAAAAGAGCCTCCCAGGTTCACCACCCTCTGAGAGAGAGCAAATAGTGCAGCAGTTTAAGAATAATGTTCCTCAATGTAATATTGGAAAGAATTTGGGACTTTCATCATCTACTGTCATTAAAACATTCAAAGAATTCGGAGAAATTCTCTGTAAACAAGGGCCAAGGCCGAAATCCAATATTGGATAGCCAGGATCTTTGGGTCCTCAGGCGGCACTGAATTAAAAATGGACATGATTCTATAGTGGAAATCACTGCTTGGGCTCAGGAACACTTCCTAAAACCATTGTCTGTGAACACAGTTCGTCGCTGCATCCACAAATGCAGGATGAAACTATAACATGCAAAGAAGAAACCAAATCTAAACATGATCCAGAAATGCCGTTGACTTTTCTGGGTCCAAGCTCATTAAAGATGGACTGAGACAAAATGAAAAACTGTCCTGTGATCTGACAAATCAAAATTTCTAATTGTTTTTGGAATTACTGAACGCCACATCCTCCGGGCTAAATAGGAGAGGGACCATCCAGCTTGTTATCAGCAGACAGCTCAAAAGCAAGCATCCGTGATGGTATGGGGTTGCATTAGTGCCCATGGCTTGGGTAGTTTGCACATCTGGGAAGGGACCATTAATGCTGAACAATATATACAGGTTTTGGAGCAACGTATGCTGCTATCCAGACACCGTCTTTCTCAGAGAAGGCCTTGTATATTTCAGGAAGACAATGCCAATGTGCATTCTGCGCGTATTAGCATGGTTCTGTGGTAGAATAGTCCGGGTGGTAGACTGGCCTGCCTGCAGGCCAGACCTGTCATCCATTGAAAACATTTGGTGCATCATGAAATGAAAAATAATCATATATCCGGCAGGAATGGGACAACATTTCACTTTCAAAACTCCATCAAGTGGTATCCTCAGTTACTAAAGGTTTACAGTGTGTCCTCTGTCCTAACTTTTTGAAACATGTTGCTGGCATCAAATTCAAATTGAGCATATATTTATCATAAAACAATAGCATGTCTATTTCAACATCTGATGTCTTTGTTCTATTTTCAAGTAAATATGAGTTTATACAATTCGTAAATCATTGCTTTCTGTTTTTATTTACATTTTACACAGCATCCCAACGTTTTGGAAATGCTGTTATAGAATTACCTGTCAGAATGTTGTGACAGATTCTTGTTTATTGGCAGCTTGAATATTTAAACAGCCTGGAAATGAGAGTAAATCTTGAGGAGCAGAACTGGAGCCAAACCAGTTTTATTATAATTGTCCAGTTGTCAGATGTACTGCAGTATTAATTTACATTTCACACACACCCCCCCCCCCCCCCCCCCCCCCCCCCCCCCCCCCCCCCCCCCCCCCCCCCCCCCCCCCCACTCCCTCTTTCCCTTTCTGTCACACCCACAGGCGGGTAAATCACTGCGAGGGCTTCCCATTGTCTGTCACTTAAAACAACTGATGATCCCTCACGCTACTCTAACAAATCACTAAACATTTATTTAAAATAAAGATGAAAAAAGCCATGTGATTTTTGAGGAAATGTGTGTTTTCCACATTTCATCTGTGTGGATATTTAATCAAAATGTGGTTCCAAAAAGGCAGCAAAACTTGTACACAGACACAATCTCCAACAAAAAGCATACAGAGTAACACAAGTTCTGGCCTGAGGTTGCTTTCCTGGTAGCAGGAAATAAGGGGGGGGGGGCAGTGGCACTAGGGTCACAGTGTGAAGGGCCTCGGCTGTTGAGTGAGAGGCCACATTGACAGCAGGTGTCCTGCACAGAATTGAATTTCATTTTCACCCTCAAGCTTGAGTAAAAACGCAGTTTGTCGTTAATTGCAGAGTGACAGAAACAAGGGCCCAGTTAATACAGTATGCTTGTTATCAGAATGACGTGCATTGAAATGGTGTATGAAGAGTTATGTAACTGGTTTGTAAATGGACTATATGTTCCGGAAGGAGGAAAATATTTGAATATTTTTTAATCTTAAATTTTGAAATAATTCTAATGTCATTTTGTCTGCTGTCATTAATGCTGTGATCCTTATTTAATAGTTTTTTTTCCCCACGATATTTCACCGCATCTTTTTTTTGTCCTGGTCACATGACCAGGTCTAGCTGTTGGGTAACACATATCCTTTTCATCGCTTGCATGGTTCTCGGCCGAGTCGCTTAGCTAAATGGAAATCACAGTGTTTGCTTCTCCGCCATCCTCTGTGCAGAATGATGCGGGGGGGCAGCGGGTCCTGGTGAACAAGTGGAGCACCTTCATCAAAGCCAGGCTGGTGTGTTCCGTGCCTGGGCCGCATGGCATCGACACGCACTTCGACGAGCTCGGTGAGAGCGGGGGGGCCCGCATGCGTTTAGCCACACACATTATCTCCTCTTATGCTCGCTTTTAGGTGCACAGGACTGCATATCCTGATTTAATGCATTTGTCCAGTGCACATTTTTTTCTGCCATACGATCTGACGGTGAGCTTCTGCTGTTTTACCCAAATGAAATCCAGAGGACGTCTTCCTGCTCAAGACGAAGGACGAGAGGAACCCAGAAGTTTATGCTATTTTCAGCAGTATTAGGTGAGCTGGCACTCACTGTCACACTATGTGTTACTGTATCTGCGACCTCATCTTTGGGGGCCTGATTGGCTGCTGACTGATTGCTGTCCCTCCCCCCTCCTCCAGCAATGTTTTCCAGGGCTACGTGGTGTGTGTGTATCGCATGGCTGACATCCGCGAAGCCTTCAATGGCCCCTTTGCACACAAAGAGGGACCAGACTACCAGTGGGGGGCCTATGAGGGACGGGTCCCCTACCCGAGGCCTGGGGTGGTGAGTCTTACAGTACTTTATTCCATGGCATTGCTGAATTCTCTAATCTGATTAGCAGAGGTGGGGATTTCAGGTCCAGAGAGTACAAATCCAGACCAAGATTTTGTTTCAACCAACCAGTTTAGTATAAAGAGTCACAGTTACAGAGTACTCAACTGGTTGGTTGAGTAACATAGCTTTTATTTATTGTCTCAGGTTTTGGAATTAGATGGACGGTTTTGAATTAATGACTGGCTTATGGTTCTAATTAACAACAGTGGCTAAAGTATCTAAGCAAAATCTTTAATAATTGGAGGAAGAAAGTAGTTATACTAATGAATGTGTTTTTGGCTTGTAAACGTGAAAATAATGTAGGTACAAACATGTAAACACATCAGGTGGTTTCTTTGCTAATGCAGACTAATGTTGAAAACTGACTTGTCCTGCATTAATCCTTATATAACATCTTTTGAAATTAACTGAACATTAACATGGGAGACTTGCCATAACATATTGTATTATATTATAAAGTTTTATAAACTAGTCCATTTCAGTTAAATCCAATTAATTCCAAAACATCCAATGGCAAATGACATAGATCCATGCCATTTGACTTGATGCAGAAGTATGTATTATGTAGCAACTTTGGGTTAGAAGATGAGTGATTGTCATGGATGATCAGTCAGGGTAGTGCTACCTGTGTTCATACTCCTCCCCAATCCATTCAGTAATCAGGTCTTAAGCAGACATGATCTCCCCTGACCCAGTCGTGATCTCCCCTGGCCCAGTCGTGATCTCCCCTGACCCAGTCGTGATCTCCCCTGGTCCCAGTCGTGATCTCCCCTGACCCAGTCGTGATCTCCCCTGGCCCCAGTCGTGATCTCCCCTGGTCCCAGTCGTGATCTCCCCTGGCCCCAGACGTGATCTCCCCTGGCCCCAGTCATGATCTACCCTGGTCCCAGTCATGATCTCCCCTGGTCCCAGTCGTGATCTCCCCTGGTCCCAGTCGTGATCTCCCCTGGTCCCAGTCGTGATCTCCCCTGGTCCCAGTCATGATCTCCCCTGGTCCCTGTCATATCTGGCATGTGACTTAATGCAGGTTTCATGCAGTTCACAAATCCCACTGTACCCCATTTCTGCCAACTATCACTGTCACTCCTTCACCCCAGAAGGACAGACCAATGCACCTGTGAAATGGGCCTGATCAAGGGCAAACTTTCCTGCACCATGTGGTAAATGTTACTGTTTCAGAGCTCATGTAGTGCAGATTTGATTTTCTGTTGATTCTGAACTCGAGTCTCTGAACAAGCCCTTGTCAAACAGCCTTTTCTCATTGACACACATCTCTATTAATGGTGTGTTGCTGACCTTCTCCCATGTCTCTGCCCTTTTCCCTCAGTGTCCCAGTAAGATAATCAACCAGCCGGGTCGGCATTTCGCCAGCACCAAGGACTTCCCGGACTCTGTGCTGCAGTTCAGCCGCAGTCACCCCTTGATGTGGAGGCCCATCTACCCTATTCAGCGACAGCCCATTCTGGTCAAGACCAATGTGGAGTACCGGCTGCAGCAGATCGTGGTGGACCGCGTGGAGGCCGAGGACGGCCAGTACGACGTCATGTTCATCGGCACCGGTGGGGGTCACAGACCTCGTCGTCCCTCACCTCCAGTTGTCTCAGAGGCATTATTACATACCCGCCTCCCCTTCATGACTTCATATGGCTGCACTCTTACACATGTGGTTTCTATCATGGTGGCTCATCTCTGCTCAAGGTCAGCTGACCTGTAGCTGTCACCCTAATTCCCCGAGACTTTATCACAAAGGCTGATGTCACTGCAGGTCTCCCGGCTCACGAACTGGACACGAACCACGTGTATCATCCTCTGCAAATGGCTATTGCTAATTCTAAGCTCTGATTCCTGAACTCCCTTATCTGCCCTAGACATTGGCATGGTGCTGAAGGTCATTTCCCTGCGCAGTGGAAATTCTCTGAGCACAGAAGAGATCATCTTAGAGGAGCTGCAGGTCTTTAAGGTACACCCTGCTCCTTCATCATTCTCACCCTCCTTATTCTTTGCTTCTTACTGCTTTTACATTCTATAAATCTTGTTATTCCTGGGATAGCTGACAGGCTCTATAGTGGGCCCTTAGGCCACAATAATAATAGATATAACATTAACAATGATTTATGCATTCCTACTTATAATACATTATATTAAATATAAATAATTTTATTTAAGGAGTAATATCAATGAGTTTTTTTTGTTTTCTGGAAACATTGTCCAGCTGAATCCAGGTTTTGTCTTCTAAATATTTATTTGGTTAGCTTCTCAGTTCTTGTAGGTTGAGCTTGGATTTTTTTTTCTCAAAAACGTGTTTAAGTAGATTCTTGTCTTTCATTTATCTGTAGTATATATGTGCGTGTGAGTGTGTGAGTGTGTGTTTAATTTCTATGGTAAATTATGGTCAGGGGAGTTGTTAGGCCTATTTTAAGGGGGGCCTAGCCCCCATAAAATGTTTTTAGCTCCCCCAAATAAATTTGTATTTATTGGCTTAAGTCATGAATAGCTTTTTATATTATAAAAAAAATTGCCATCGACCCCCCCTAGTAAAGACTCAGCCCCCCTATCCATTCAACTCTAACTATACCCCTGGTTGAGGTTAGGGCTGGGTAGGGGTTATACTATAAGAACATAAGAACTATACAAACGAGAGGAGGCCATTCGGCCCATCGAGCTCGCTTGGGGAGAACTTAACTAATAGCTCAGAGTTGTTAAAATCTTATCTAGCTCTGATTTAAAGGAATCCAAGGATTCAGCTTGCACTACGTTATCAGGAAGACTATTCCATACTCTGACTACACGCTGTGTAAAGGAGTGCTTCCTTAAATCCAGTTTGAAATGTTCTCCCGCTAATTTCCACCTATGGCCACGAGTTCTTGTATTTGAACTAATGCTGAAGTAACTATTCGGTTGAACAGCATCCAAACCTGTTAGAATCTTATAGACCTGGATCATGTCCCCTCCTTTGCTTGAGGCTGAACAGATTTAGCTCAAATAACCTTTCCTCGTATGACATTCCTCTAAGACCAGGAATCATTCTTGTGGCCCTACGCTGCACCTTTTCTAAGGCCGCTATGTCCTTTTTAAGGTATGGTGACCAAACCTGTACACAATATTCTAGGTGAGGTCTCACCAAGGAATTGTATAATCTTAGCATTACCTCCCTTGACTTAAACTCCACACACCTGGAGATATACCCCAACATCCTACGCTACGTGGGACGTGCGCTATAATAACTGACACCTCATAAATACGAGGTCGTCCCCTGTGCCCTTTGCTATCTGGGATCAGCTTTGCTCTCACTGACACCACAAACAGTTAAACAGCATGGGTGGATGGATCAACTGTTTCATCACTCTGTCCTCACAGCATGCGCTAGTATCTTGGCACGAGCGAGCAGTGAGGGGGACCATGTTCAATCTAAACAGAGCAGGGTGTGTTTTCACTGTGACCAGTAAACGACTTGCTTGCACAGCCCTTTGAATTCACGTGGGACCCTTGCATGAGCGGTCAGATCAGTTCATGTGCTGTAACTGATCATAATTCTGCGCTTCTCATTTTTTTTTGCCTCCAGGTGCCAACACCTATAACTTCGATGGATATCTCAGTTAAAAGGGTAAGTAAATGCAAATGTCCTACTGTATGTCCTTAGTGCTTAGTACTCCCCAGGGCCCAAGGCTCCACCCAGGATGACAGTCACATGACATTGTTTCTCGACCCACCAGCAATCCCTGTTTGTGGGCTCTCCGGCGGGTGTGGCCCAAGTCCGGCTGCACCACTGTGAGATGTACGGCAAGGCCTGCGCTGAATGCTGCCTGGCCCGCGACCCCTACTGCGCCTGGGACGGCACCTCCTGCACGCGCTACATGTCCCACAGCAAACGGCGGTACCGGCGCCAGGACGTGCGCCACGGCAACCCCGTCCTACAGTGCGTGGACCAGAATTTCAACGGTGAGGAACTGGGATGGAAACCAACAAAAAAAACATGTCATGGAAAGCAGGTTGGAAGGAGAACATCTTAGAGAAAGCAGGCTGGCAGTTAGGTCTTCATGATCTGCAGCAAAATGTACAGAACACGAGGAGAGGAGGAATAGAGGAACAGAGAACAGGACCTGTGGAATGACAGTGATTTAGTAGGTGCATGTCCTTCACTTTACATTACTCATTGTAGATGGTTAAAAATACTCCAAAGAGGATAGTTTACTTTGTCAGCTGTGATGTCTATGCAACTCAGGCTTTTGGGCACTCATTATCAGTAAAGGCTGAGCTGTGATCGTGCTGGAAGGCTGAATGTGGTGGCCTTGCCGAGGCCTGCAGAGAACATGTGTTGTTGGGGGAAGTGAGGCTCTGGTCCTCCGCTGAGCTCCTGCACAGCAGTCATAGTACAATTAGACAGAACGTAGGCAGGAAAAAGGCAGAGCAGTGTATATACAAATATGTTGCTGTCAGCTATACACTGTTAGTCAGGGCACTCAGAAACTGATTTGCTGAATTATGTGCAATACCAACTCAGGGGGCTAAAACAACATGCTGTCGGTCCAAGGCCAAGGCCCTTAACACCCAGCTCCCTGGGTGCTGCAATGGGTGGGTGCCCTTCACACACTAACAGAGAGCAAGATGGGGGAGGCAAAAAGAGAAATTACCCACTGATATCAATAAAATTATTAATAATTATAATAATGAATAATTCTCAATAATTATACACACACTAGTGCTAGGTTTTACTAAAAATGAACTGGCAGGTTGGAATGAGAGGAAAGGTGTAGAGGCTGGATTGCTGTCCCTGCAGCTGTGGGAGTGACTGTCTACATACCCAAAAACATCTGCATGCGATCATTCAGTCACAGGATAACAGCACAGCACAGACCTCAGCCCAACACCACCAACCCACACAGAAACCCCTAACACACAACACTTAGCACAGCACAGCACAGACCCCTAACACACAACACTTAGCACACACTTTTCTTGATATTTCAGAAACTCAGCATGGTCATAAAAACCTGCATAACTGAGTTTTTGATCAGTCCTGTATGTGAATAGAGTGATGTGTTTGTGTACTGGATGGTATGTGTGTCACAGTGCGCCTTTGTGTACCCTTGTGGATGGCAGGTTTACGACCTGGTCGGTGGTTCTTTGTACTTTATAAGTGCACCGTGGGTAGTAACCAGCATCTGCATGCCTGTGCTTTTGTGTGTGTCCTCAGTGGACGAGCTGGACCCCAGCGAGGAGAGGGTGGTTTACGGCACCGAGAACAACAGCACATTCCTGGAGTGTGTTCCCCGCTCCCCCCAGGCGAGCGTCACCTGGCACATTGAGCGGGATGACCGAAAGGAGGAGGTGAGGAGCCGCCGGAGGTGCAGAGGCATGAGAAGCATGAGAAGGAGGTGCACTGCCAGCTTCTGCAGATGGACCAGATGCTGTTACCCATCCAGTCCTTCAGACGACTGGTTTCGCTCAGGCTCGTGTGACAATGTTACATTCCCAATGATTATTATTTTCCCAATTTAAATGTTATTTATTCTGGTAGATGCCAGCACATAAAAAGAATTAACACAATAATGATAATATAATTATATAATATCAATAATAATAATAATAATAATAATAATAATAATAATAAGATACCGTACAAAGAAAACTTCAAAGTGAACTGTGTTTGCACCTTTAATTTTAAACGGATGTACAGTGGAAACCGTTTATAGTGATCACATCTGTCTGGATGAAATTGATCACTTAAGTGGATGATCATTACAACAGATTTTCTTCTTCTTCTTTATATCTCGGCCAGATTACCATCTAATTGACATCTGTTTATTTATTAAAATGAATATAAAGTAATAAAACGGACAGTGCACTATTTAATGAATTTTATTGACTCTTAAAATACAGTACAGTTGTTTGAAACACTTTTCAAATTACAGTATTGTGCACATAAGATTATTTGTTTATAATCATAAGCTTTGATGAGTCATTGAGAAAAATTTAATTTCTTTTTCCTGTCATGTTTTCCGTGCATGCAGCATTAGCCTTGGGTAGCTAGCCAGAAGCAGACAGGTTACTCTAGGCAAAGTAGGGCGTAGTAAAGTAAAAAGAAAAAAAGAATTACCATAATTTAATTTTTTCCCATATGTTGTCATGCATAAAAAGACCCAAAAAGAACACTGTAAGCAGACTACTTGTTTATTTAAACAGTATTTGTACAGGAATGATTCTGTCCCAAGGTTTTTGATTTTTTTGATCCATATAAGTGGTTGATCACTATAACCATGAACACTGTAAGCGGTTTTCACTGTATTACATGGCAGCCAAAGGCACAGGAGAGAGGATGATATGGGGGGGGGGGCACAGCTTAAGAATTTAAAGACACAGGGGACAAATGAAGCCAAATAAAATTTTGGGGGCACCCATCCCCCCGGTTCCACCGCCACAGCCACTTTTATCCAAGATGACTTACATTATTTATTCTTTTATCCTTTAACATTAACACTATTTTAAACCTAATTGTTCAGTTTAATAAGCATATTTATACCACGGCACTGCTTGATTCTCGGATCTGAAGGGTGTTGATTAATTATCTATACTGTAACTGCATATGTAGTGCCAGCCAGGCGAATCACAGTAACAAATCAATGCGTGATTATAATCTTTAATTCTAACTAACGAAAACTATAAAAGTGAAGAAATTGCTACAGATCACTCATAGCAATAGTGCTTCAGGCTGAGGACCAGCACCTCTGGTCAGTGATTAAACACCAAATACTATTTAAGTATTTAGCGCCCCCAATGCGCTGTCACTCCTGCAGGTAAAGACAGATGAACGCGTGCTGAAGACTGAGGAGGGGCTCCTGTTCCGCCGGCTGTCCCGCCAAGACGGGGGCGCCTACATCTGCCGGTCCTGGGAGCACGGCTTTACGCAGACGCTGGCCCGCATCTCACTGGAGGTGCTGCCGGGGGAGACGCTGGGCGAGTTGCTGGCCAGGGAAGAGGGCACCGAACTGCTGGGGAAGGACAGGGAGAGGGCTGGCTCTCGGCCAGGACCGCCCTGCTATGCCCCGCGAGGTCCAGGCCGCAGCAGCTCCTGGTACAAGGATGTCGTGCAGCTGATCGGACCGTCGGACCTGTTGCGCGTGGAGGAATACTGCGAACGTGTGTGGTGCAGCGACAAGCTCCGGCGCAAGCACAAGGGCGTCCTGGACAAGTACCGAATGGCCCAGGAAAGCGCCCGCAAGATGCGCAACAGGGCGTCAGGCGAGCGCAGCCGGACACCACGTGACCTGCACCCGCGGGATTAGGTGCATGGCGCCTGTACCACTGAGGAGAGTTTTGGGGTAGGGGTGGCAAATCAATGACAAGGGGGAAAAAAATTGATGCATCTCAGAGTTGGACATGTGGGCATGGGACAGTGGATGGAACAAAGTCAGGGTGGGGGGTGGGGTGGAATATTCATGACTGTTACATAGTTCCACACGCATCACTGCCAAGCTGCTGCTTGGGGCCTTTTCACCCCTCTACATTGGGCTCCTGTGGTACCTCCCGCCAAACCATACCTCCAAACCATATGCTAAAGAAAACACGGGCTGGCTGTGTTCTCCTCCCACAGAGGTTGCTGCACCCCTGTTATTATCATGCTCTTTCACACAGTGGCATTCGCCTACCCATCCATTCCTGCACCCTGCCTTTCCAATCTGCCAGGAAAGAAAAAAAAGAGACTTCAAAAAACTCGTTCAATGAATCCTGGACATGAACCGAATAAGAGCTGTTTAACTTAAAATGTTGTGTGACGATAGTTGGTCGTTCAACTGAAAAGGGTCACAGTGGCTTTTTTTTACTGGTGGAATTCCAGCCTTCATCTGTGGAGGAGCCTGATCTTGCTGCAGTGTTCCAGTTTGCTTTTTGCGCTCTGGTTCATTACTGAAGTCGAAGATCGTTGGTGCCTGTTGTTTGTTAAGATATAATCCCCTCAGAGCCTGAAATCTTCTCTGAGGACAAAAAGTCCTCCAGGGAATCCATTTTTACATGATTACTGGTCCTGCCTGGAAGAGAGGAAGAGTCTTCATAACTGTGTCTTCCAGAAACACAAGGCTGTTCCCGCCACACAGTGATTTTCAAAACTACTCACTTCTGTACAAGATAATGTCTTTTCCACTGTTTTATTTGTGACCATGTCATATCTTTTTGCAAGGTGTCCTTTTGACAATATGCAGGCTGAAAGGATTTGACTTAAATAATCTTTACTGTTTATTAAACTTATGTCATAACTAACTGGGGCATTTCACACTGGGATGCATTGTGTGTAGGTTTCAACATCTATATTTTTTATTTTACAACCTTACAGATCATTCATGTATTATTTTTTATTTACTCTTCAGGAGAAATGAGGATGTAAATCATTTTGGCCAGAAACTATGCTTTTACTCTGTAATAAATCTGAAATTAGCAGTCTCATTCTCAACCTTTGAGAAGTGAGTCAGGTGCAGAGTGATCACACAAAACAGGACAGAGATGCTGGACAGTAAAAGGTTAACTGAAACCAAATGACTTTTAATAGGGAAAAAATTCTAATGCAAATGGGGTCGTGGCCCCTTTAGGATCAACTCATTGAAAATGCAATCAGAAGAACCTTAAACACAAAGTACAGGAAAGATCAAATCACATATGACACCTAGGGGGTGTTCCACAAAGCAGAATTTCTCAGTTAGCTGGGTTAACTTAAGCTAGAAGTCATGAATGTCCAATATGAGTTTAAGCCAGAAGCATTCCTATTGGACAATCATGACTTCTATCTTAAGTTAACCCAGCTAATCTAGAAATCCTGCTTCGTACAGTACCCCCGTTAGGAAGACCTCTGACATCACACTTCCTCCTCATCTCTTGTAACACTCTCTAACCCAAATCCACCAGCTGGCTCTACTAAACCAATTAGTCTAAGAAAGACCAGCTGGATTTCATCAGCTGCTCTATCTGTACTGTAGGTGCCTGATTGCCTGATTTACTGCCATAATAATGCTAATGCAAAAAACACAGCGGTTATTGTGCCTCTTAACATGTAAATTTCTATTTTAACTTAGCATGACAGAGAAACAGACTGACACTTAACCACAAACTGTTTACTAACTTAACTTCATAGGTTTGTTCCATGAGCAGTCTGCTAAAGTGGTCATCCTTTCTCAGTAGTCTGAGTAGAGAAATGAAGTGTATTATTTACAAAGCCAGCATCTGTTAGATGCATGTAAAATGAGCTTGGGGAGAGGGGTGTGGCATTCTGAGGAGACTCTGTTGGAGCATTGAGATAATTTAATGTTTCATGTATTTATGTCTTATTTAATGACTTGTGCATGTCATGCGAGTGTCTTTTTGTAAAGGCAAACATAAATACTTTTTATGGATTAATTTGAAAGAGGTATCTTTATTGCTCTGTGGCTCTGAATTTGATGTTGCAAACTACTCACACTCATTGTGTGTGCTATGTGTGTGTGTGTGTGTGTGTGTGTGTGTGTGTGCATGTGAGTTTGTATTTACCACATTGTGGGGACCAGATATCCCCAGAATATGGTAAAACTTGCTATTTTTTAAGTTGAGGGGACATTTCTTCAGGTTCCCACAATGTAAACCTCAACTTTATAAAAATCTGTCAATGCAAAATCAAAAAAATAAAAATTCAAAATTCTTGTATTTTGTTTGGTTACTTATGGTTAAGGTTATCATAGTAAGGATTAGATTTTACCCATAGAAATGAATGGAAAGTCCCCACAATAATAGGCATATTGCAGCTGTGTTCGTATGTATGTGTGTGTGTGGATTATGTTTATATTACATTGTCGAGACCAAATGTCCCTCACAATGTGATAAAAACATTTTTTTTTTTACATTGTGGGGACCATTTTTCAGGTCCCCACAAAGATCTGTGAATTCAGTCAAAAAACTAAAAATACCAAAAGTCTCATATTTTGTTTGGATACTTATGGGCATGGTTAGGGCTGGGTAGAGGTTAAAGTCATCATGTTGCAATTAAAATTTTCCCCACAAAGATATAATTACAAACCTGTGTGTGTGTGTGTGTGGGTTTGCATAGATCACATTTGAGGACCAAATTGTACCCAAAGTGTCCCCATTTTGATAAACTCAGTTTTATGAAAATCTGTGAATGCAATCAAAAAAGTAAAAATGACAAAAGTCTTGTATTTGGGTTGGTTACTTATGGTTAAGGTTAGGGATGGGTAGAGGTTAAGGGTGTCGTGATTGGGATTATGGTTTTTCCCATAGAAATGATTGGATGGTCCCCATTTAGATAGGAAGACGAACTTGTGTGTGTGTGTGTTTGTGCATGCGTGTGAGTTAGCATGATGGCTGTCACAAACGACGGCCAAGTTAATAAAATCACGAGCCAACTGTCTGCATGGAGAGCCGCTGATCAGAAACAGAGGGGGCCTGGCCACCAGCCGATCCTCTCCGAGATCAATCCCATAATCCCTCACCGTGGGAGCTCTGTCCCTGTTGTTGATGACTTTTCAATTAATGTAAAATTTTAAGACAAAAAAAAATTTGAATAAATATGGATGTCTGTTTCCAAGTAACAGTGTTTTCATTTTCCTGTACAGTGTCCTCTTCACTCTTCTAAACAGATGTTTTTTTTGTTTGTTTTTTTTTTTTTAGTCGGTTGTGTTCAGACATATTTTAAACCTGGTGTTAGATATAGTTAGTGGGTTATTGAGCAAGGTTCACTATTTGGAATAACTTTATGACTGCATGATTATATGTTACTTTTCCCCTTTAAATCCAGTTTGGTTGTTATTTTTATTTGTATTTTTTCTACAATGTGAATAGAGTATATTTTGTCACTATAAGTTGTTTTTGGTTTTTGCAAAGAAGATATGATTTGATTATTGTTCTTTAGGCCAGTTTTGCATAAGAGCATTTTTTCAATTTTTATTATTGTGAGTGTATGTCTGTGGTATTACAATATTGTTACACAGTTATATGTATCTATTCTGTCATCAACATTTAAGAGCACTGAAGACTGGTGTTATTGCACAAAGTCACTAAAATATTTCTCTTACTCGAACCAAACCTTTAAGCTGTAAACCTTTTATATAGGACAGGAGAAATAGTAGCTTGATTAATAAAAGAAAATGTTTAAATGCTGATCTCAGGTTTATTGCTGAGTGAAACATTATAACTTTATTAACCACCATTATTTACCGTGAATTCCCCTAAAGCCAGAATGTGTCCTGTTTAACACTAAGTGTAATTTAAATCATATTTATCTCAGTACATGTAAGAGCATAATTACATTCACTGAATAACTGCTTTCATAAATATTTGTACAGCGTGATGTATATTTTTTTCAGATGTATTAATGAATACAGTGTATGCATACGTCAGTTTTTACATGAATAAATCTAGTAATGAGAAAAGCTGTCCAGTGTTAAGAACAGTTCTTAGAATAAGGGATAAAATGATAACAGTAAGACAGCAGGATATGGGTCCTTGTTGTTCACAAACATGCAGATACACACTCCTGCTTGGCTTTCACCTTCATATGGTGAAGGGGATGGCAATCAGTACTGCTGGTGAGCAGAGGGAGGTGACGGCCATTGGGATGGCATCTCGCCCAAGAGGCCAACAGGCGATGTTTAATTTGCATCATCATATCATCACAAGGACACACACTCCCTCATATGGTCTGGGTACTGAGTTAACGAAAGGTCATATGGAGCCAAATCGCTGGAACCCTTTGCAAGGCCAGGCTGAGCTATAGCTGCAGGGAAGCCGCATTATCTCACTGTGTCAGCTCCAGGATTGCCAGCTGGAAGCACCGCCAGGGTTTACGAATACTGACATTTTCCAGAAACCATACCACCCCCCGTCCAATGTTTTCCTACAAGGTCTCCACAACTATGTATGGCATGATTCACCAGAAACGAAGACACAAGCCCCAGTGGAAGCACACTTACTACATCTCTGTCTCCCACCAGCAACGCCTCTGTGGAACCGGTGTCGTCCCATAAATGGCTCTTCATTGTGACACTTAGGCTCCGCCAGGATTCTTCATAGTCATCCCTGCCCCCCCTCCCCGGCAATGATGGGAAGATTCGTCCAGGACCCCATTGTGCTGATACAACAGTCGTGCCAGAAGCTCACTGACATGACATGACAGTCTTTCTTATATACAGGACTTGAGTTTGAGATTCTGTCATCATAATCTGTCATCAGTATGGCAGGACTTCACAACAGGGCAGCTATTCAACTCCCACCTTGCCTCTACGCCTAGTGTGGGGTCGCTGTACCACCATTGGGCCAGCACCTCTCCAGAGAGACGGGCGTTATTTCATTCTTCATGGAGATGGTGTGATCTTGGAAAGACAAGTTGTTTTGGTCCTGTGGGCACATACTTTGATTTGATCAGAACCAAAAAAAGAAGCTATAAAGCCAGGAGTGAGTCACACGTGCATGAAAACATTATGCAAGAATGTTTTTATGACTGACCTCCCTCCTTCGGATTGGCACTTGCTGAAAAGCTGTTGATGTTTTAAAAATTTTATATAAAGTCATAAATGTAGTTTCTTTTCTTGTCCAAATCTTATAAAATTAAATTGGAGACAATTGTTTTCTGCCTGACATTTGCCAGAAGCTGGCCTGCTGTCTCATGTTTTCTCGGATGAGCTTCCCCCAGCAGTCTCAGCCAGCCTGGTTTTTCTGGGATGAAAATTTTCATTAGTGATGGAGAGTTTCCTGTTGGCTAAGGGTGGAGCGCTCTGCTAATGATAAAAACCCAGGGTGCAGATCGGTGCACCGTATACAGGCTTGTTTACTGTAGGCAGTAATTGCACCAATGCTCTGACTCATTTATCTGACATTCTATAAAAGATAACCTGTTTTCCAAATTCTTTTGAAATCTTGCAGGTTAATCATGCTACCCCCCAAAGGACCATATTATAATTCATGTATTTGTTTTTTAAAGGTTAATTTTTTAAATTTTAATATTGCAATGAGAGCTTCATAATTTGTAGTAATGCAAGGTTGATACTGTATATGGTTTTGCAAATACAGTAATTGTGATGGGTTTTCTGCATTATGATACCCTAGCAAATCCTGTGCCTTTATGGACTATTAATTAATCTCTAGTTGCCTTTGCTGAGGTGAATGAGCCCCTCTATTGTAATTAGGTCACAGCAAAACTCTTACATACAGCGCAGTTCAGCATCTGCAGTATATTAATGAATTTGTTGTTTCTTTGCTCTTCAACAGCCAAATAAAAAAACATACAGCCAATCTGATTGTTATCTTATGATTTTCAAAACCTGCACCCTGGTAAAAGCCACTGCAAACCTTAATTTTTCAAGGGACGACACAACGTGAAGGGAGGAAAATCTCGGACACGGCAGGGCTTGCACATGTTTGTCAGTCAAAGAAAGCTGGTGCATATTTCTCCTGCAAGTGGGCCCCCCCTGTGACAGATGAAGATTAATCACCGAGGGATGGGGGCTGTAAATGGTTCCCTTAATTGGCCAGCTGGACCTGATTGTCCCTTAGGAGCTTGAGCAGGGCATTTACTTTGCCCAGAAGCCTGCAGTTTTCCCCACTGTCAAACCTGCACTCTCTGGTGATATTAGCAAACTGCGGTCAGGTTCACGGTGAACCCTGAAGTAACCTCTATTCATAAACTTGCCGTCAATCTCAACCTGTAGTTACTTTTGGCCCAATCAAGTTATTGCCTACAGTTGCATTTTTGGTAAAGTCCATGCACCCCCCTGTAGCTCAAATAGTGTCATAATATTTATATTTGTCCTAGTATTTCAGTTTATTTTCCCCTAAATTTCACAGCTCACCAAAGCATGAATTAAAACCTCTTATCACAACTTAGGACATCATCTTGTGGTTTCAGAGCACTTTGCCTTTGTAGGAACATAAAAAATACCTGTTAATCATCTTAACCCCCTCACGTTAATTACTCCCAGCTGCCTCTCGTTTGCTCCCTTGTTAGCCATGTATATAAGTACTGCCCCCCAATTCTGAGCCTCCTGTATTCGATCCCCCATAATCCAGTTACTTTCTAGTCTCTGTTCTTTTTCTTTAATACCCCCTTTTGTTTGTTCAGTATGCCTGCCCTCGAGTCTTTTGTCCCACATTGTATGACAATAACACTTGTTCTGAGATGCATTAGGCAGCCCCCAGCAGGGCTCACACTGCCCCTGCACCCTGACACTGAGGAATCCCCCAGGATGAAAATGCACTTTTGCCTTCAGCCTTTTCATCATTCAACACAACCACACAGTTTTCCTACCTGGGGGTTTAGTGCGGGGCACTAAGTAGTAGGACATTTCCTGGACACTTACCTCCTGATAAACTAAACACAAGTGAAGATATTCAGACATTCCAGCTGTTCTTATCAATTATTTGGTTAGACACAGCAGAAAGACATTCAGCTGTATGGTCATTCACAGACAAACATTATCTAAAAAGCATACAAATCAGTAGATACTATTGGGTGAAAATCTTTAGGGAAGGTATTACTGGGGATTATTTAAATATGATTTAGATAAGCTGAAAATCAAAATAAACAGGGGAAATTTCTGGAAAATGAGGAAATGTCTAATCAGACTGCTCCTGATGTTCTTCAATGTGTGTCATAACCTGTAGGTGAAGCTTTTGATTTAACATCTGAGGAACCAGGAACATCCACTGCAAGCTTGAGGAAGTTGTAAAATGGCAGAGGTCAGAAGAACATTATACCAATGCAGAATCCAAAAAATAATACAGAATCACCACCCCCCCCCCCAACACACACAGACAGATGACCCTTTTACAGGATGCAGTATTTAGTAACAGTAATATTGACATGACATTTTTCTGGGAACACACACTGAGGCAACAAGGATGAATCGGTCAGCTAATGAGAGTTGAGTTGTACATAAGGTGAGCTTATCTCAAGGAGGACAGATGCTGTCATGAGGACTGATGAGAGCACAGGCGGGCTGTGCTTTATGGGCATATGTAACCTCCAGCCATAAGGTGGCAGTGTGACAGTTATGGTTTACTCAGAGATTCCTAGCATAGCAATAACAGGATGAATAATATTATTACTTACTCAGTTTTCCTCATAGCCACATTCTTTGCTATAAATTATTTTGTGTGAAACTTTTCTGGGTCTGGAGGATAAACAAAGTCATGTTGTCAGCACACAGCATGCAGTTTTTTTTTTGTGAGAAAAGAATTGTTACACCTGTAATTTTTTATTCCAGCGAGGCTCTGACCAATGCAAGATGAATGCATGACAAGTTAAGCTACTGTTTAGAAGGGATAGAAAAAGAAAACCAAACAGGAATGAATGGAACTGGGATCAACAATAATGTCTCTGCTGGCTCCATATATTCAATCCATATTACTGGGGGATCCCAATGCTCCAGTGCAGTGAGAGGAACACTACACTGTAAAACTGGCGCCTTTTTTTGGATAAGATATAAAACTGAAGTCCTGACTCTCTGAGGTCATAAAAGATCCCTGGACATGTTGTCCTGGCTAAAATTGTCCAACATGGCCCTGTGAAATCTGGCCCCCTAATCTTCCCCAATATCCAACTGGTGAATTCTCTGTTGCCCCTTCAGCTACTGTGTGATTAACATACAGAATGGCTGCTGTTGCATCATCTAGGTGGGTGTCACAGTGTTGGTAGTTGAAGTGGCTCCCCATTGCTTCTGTAAATTGCTTTGAGTGTCTTGAAATGTGCTAAATAATGTAACTATTCAATCATTCATTATTTTTTTCATTTATTCATGCATTGGATCATTCATTCATTTATTCATTCATTGGATCATTCATTCATTTATTCATTCATTGGATCATTCATTCATTCGTTCATTCATTCATCTGTTCATTCATTCATTCATTAATTCATTCATTCATTCATTCATTCACTCATTTTATAGTGCTTCCACTGGATACTGGCACATACTGGAAAATCAAGACAGTAGTTCCACCATAAGATGCAATAGTAGTTTTTCACTCTGCCATTGTGTACTCTCCTAGGAGCTTACTGCTTATCTCCCATTCCTCACAGGACATGTCTCCCAGGAGCCCTACACTCACACCCTGGTCAAGGGTGCTCTGACTCTACAGCTTCACCCTGCACAGACTCCAAAGCTCTGGCCCTTGCAAAACTAACCATTTGGGGAGTGTCGATCAGTCATCAGCCCCCCTTTGGTGCATTTCCTTCACATTGCTGCTCAGAGGCACCCATGGCTGATTTCCCCCGCCACCCCCCTTCAGATAGTGAGACACATTAACAATCCAGCGTAAATGACCATTAGGGAACAAACAGCAAAGTCAACAGTCATTGTTTTCACACAATGTTTTCAGAGTCCTTAATAAAATGCCTTTTTCAGCTCAGCAGTTTGACATCTTCCTGCCAAACAGTGTTATAGGTGCTGCCCCCTGCTTTGTGGCAGACACACTCCGCACATTGTTCCCTTTGCGGCTTCCCTCATTACAGAGTGTTTGTTTTGGGTTCTAGCATTACCGTGGCCCGGCGACCACGCACAGCTAAACTGTTTGCCCTGTGAGCCAGTCCCACGTCCATGCAGGAGGGGCTTCCTGCAATCTGTCAACAGACGGAGTGCCAGGGACCAAAGGGCTACAAGTGGAATATTGTCTCCATTACATCAACAAGCCTCTCTGACCTCCAGGGTTAATTACTTAAATGAGTCCTAAGTAATTTGAGTTAATTAGCACCATTAATCACTGAAGCTATCTCTGTTTGTTTAGAAAGGATACAGGTCTTGACAGGAGGAGAAGGTGAGAAGGAGAGCATCCCGGGCTGAGCTCCGAGCGAAAGGACCTCCCAGTGTTCCAGTGAGACAGGGTTCCGAAATGCGAGAGAAACAAAAGCATCTATTACTCAAGAAAAGGGAAAAAAACAGCGCAAATGAGTCATACATCCTTCAGCTTAAACATTGTCCAGATAGGCAGTTTAAGCTAGAAAAATATACCACAGAATCCCTGCTAATTATTGCATAAAAAGCGACTCAATTCTACGGGCCACTTTTCTCGAAACCATCTACTGTAATACTGTCAACACATTTCAAAACATACCTTCTACCTGGAGGACCACACGACAAACTAAACTGGGGCAGGGGGGCACACAACAGAATGAACACGAGGGCCACCTGACCAACCAAACTGGGGGGGGACACACACAACATAATGAACAGGAGGGCTACCTGACCAACCAAACGGGGGGGGGACACACACAACAGAATGAATAGGGGGGGGACACACACACACACAACAGAATGAATAGGAGGGCTACCTGACCAACCAATCTGGGGGGGGGGGGGGCACATAACAGAGAGAACTGGAGGGCCACCTGACCATGACAAAATAATTACTCAGCTTCTCATAGAAAGAAAATTTATGTCATACATGCATAATGTCCTTTGAGTAACTATGTAATCTGGAAATTTGAGTGCCTACTCTTATTCCTTTTATATTTTTTCCCAGGGATATTTTCACTTCAGTGATTGAACAGAATGGCAGCCAATTCGACAGTGATGACAGTGACAGCGCCAACTGGATGTTTGGGAGAAAGAGGGGATCTTTGGAGAGTCCTCACTGAAACCAGCATCTCTGCCTATCGACCTTCTGCAAGCTGTCCTGTAAAGTGAAGGTCAGGGTCACATGAGTCATCTGAGAGGAGCAACCTGCTTCAGCAGCAGGGGAACGTAACCTGTTAAGAATGACTTGCAGATCAGGGGGGCACCTCCATCAGACCCCAGGCCGCCTTGGATGTTTTTAATGAAGTTTAAGATCAAATTGGAGTTTAACTCAAGCCTTTATATGATGACGTGCATTAATAATAAACAAAAGATATCAAGGAAAAGCATATGGTCATGATTCGCTGTCTAAAAAGAATTCTACAGCAATATAGGGTACAAGTATCAGAGAGATCAAATCACCACACATACAAATTTCTAAAATATAACTACAACAAAACTCTTAAAGATAATACTGAGACTGTTATGCATTCATTACTCAGTTTACTGGCTTTCTTGTATATGTCTTTATATTAGTTTTGAGTTTACGAGTTGTGGCTTTGTTTTGAATTCCTTACTAAGGGCACCCTTGCTTTGAAAAGTTGAAGAGTTGTATTATATCAAGCTTAGAAAAGGGAACAAAAGTTATTTCTTGCTGCTGTTAAGGGTGTAAGTATAAAATCCCAGTGAAAATCCATCAAGGTGTGAACAAGAGAAAGCCAGGGGAGGACTCTGACACTAAGACAGACTCAGGAATAGTTGGCCACAGCAAGAAACTCCCTGGGAATCAGTTCAGATGGAAACAGCATTAAGCCAGCTAGAGGTATAGCAGAGAAACAGTCTCTAAACTAATTCAGCTGATTTTACAAACAGAAGGTATCCCCTTCTGATATGCGCTTTCCCCTATATTTTCCTTATGTACTCTTTTTAAGGAATAAGGAATGGATACTTCCCTATAGAGCCATGGAAAAATTTGAGACCACTCTATATTTTAAAAAATCAGCATTTTTAAATCCTGGTTTAATCGTGGTTCTGCTCAAAGAAGACTATGCTGAGCAGCAGGTTGCGTTCAGGTTAAAAGTACGCAAGAATAATGTGAAGCAGGAAACACTGGGAATGACCAGAAATCAGCCAGGTAAAGGGTAGAAGCAACATTCTACTGCCAGAGATGATCGTTAACTTATCCGACAGATTCTCATGAATTGGAAGACGACATCAAGTGACCTTCGAAAGGAATGGGAAACATTAAGCGCAGGTGTGAAGTGCACTGCTAGGACTGTTCATATCAAGCTCCTAGAAGCAGGTATGAAGTCCCATAAAGCAAGGAAGAAGCCCTTCATTAATGAGAAACAGGGAAGAACCAGGCTGTAGTTTTCAATAAAAAAAAATTATTTAGAGACACACACCCATAACTTGAGAAATGAGTGAGAGAAAAAATTGTGCTGTGGTCTCTTAATTTTTTCCGCGGCTGTATATTCTTTTCCTTATGTACCCGAACAGTGTGCTGTGCCTTTGACCCATACTATTTCTTCCCTCTATGTTACATAAACATCTCAAGAAAGTTGTGAGGTACCTGTCTTTTGAATTAGCTGTTCCCACTATAGAATGCATTTCAGGAAATGAGCCAATTAGGGTAGAGGGTCCCAGGACCTCATGGCCCCATTGCCACAAAACTCCCCAGTTTGGTTATTAGGCCCAGTGGGGTAGGCAGTTTGAGAGCGTAGGGGCGAGGGGGCAGCCCTAATTGGTTGCAAGGCTGAGTAATTATACTCGTAGTTTAATATTACTGCGATAAGTGGTTGTGCAGGAATACAACTCACTGGGCTGGGGGCAAGACATAGTGAGTCATAACAATGGCTGCTCTGTTTTAGAGGGTCCACCTTAGGCCCCCTGCCATTCCGTTACTAAATGAGCGGCGACATTCTAAGGACATGAAATGAGGTGTGATGTGGGGGTTCTTCCATTAGAAGACAATGTGGCAGCAGTATCATTAGGTGTCCTTAGACTGATGAGACTATAGGGACATGGTGTAAAGCTGAAGGCTTGTGAATTACAAGCAGCCAGAGACATGGAAAGGATGTCCCCTTTACTACTGTGGTAGTTCGGTTGCAAGACCTTTCACTTCAACAGAACCTGTAAGACTCTGTCTCTACTGAAGCACATTTGCACCCTCTTCTGTTCAAAATATGTCATTTCATGTCACCGAACCCAGCAATATCCTTCTGAGACCCGAGGAAAAAAGTGTCCTTCAGTTTTAGGTTATTTGTCTTTGGAGGAAATAAGACAACTTACAATTTAGATTTTTTTCAATTTTATTTTTATTTTTTATTTCACAGCATGTCCTCTTTAGTGTACAACAGGAATAAATACGTTTCCTTACATGAGTGAAAAGATAGATGCAAAAACAAAATGTCCACTACAATGAACATAAATGAATGGGTATCAGGAGGATATTACACCTACAGTGTGGAAATAATTGAGACCACTCTATAATTTTAAATAAATCTACATTTTAAAATCCTGGTTTAATTGTGGTTCTGCTGGCAGAAGGCTACACTGAGCAGCAGGTTGCTTCCAGGTTCAAAATTTCTAAGACAGCAGTGCACAAGAAAAAGTTGAAGCGAGAGACACTGGGAATGACCAGAAACCAGCCAGGTAAAGGGCAGAAGTGACTTAGTTGAGATGACCATTAATAGTTTCTCATGGATCATAGGATGACATCAAGCGACCTTCAAAAGGAATGGGAAACATTAAGTGCAGGTGTGAAGTTTCATATCAGGCTCCTAGAAGCAGAATTGAAGTCCCATAAAGCAAGGAGCCCTTCATTAATGAGAAACAGGGAAGAATTAGGCTGCAGTTTCCAAAAAAATGTAAAATAATTCACGCACACGAAAAAATTGAGAAATGAGTGACACAAAAAAATGTGCTGTGGTCTCTTAATTTTTCCCACCACTGTATATTTTTTTGCCACCATAAGAACCACATGTGGAGTCCTAAACGAGCTTCACCACCGATGCCCTCCCTCCAATGTGCAGCACCATGCACACTGCAGGAGACAAAGTGCTAATGACTTGCTAAGTTCGTGCTTCCTCAAAAGATGGCTCTGTATTCGGCCACTTTTATTGCCTAACGGGTTGATCGGCACTGACTACTATCTTCAATAAATTAACTTTAAGAACTGCACCTGAAACCATGACTAAGGCAATAAAACATAAACAAAATTATAAATTTCTATGACACAAGAGCAGAGGGATGAGGTAACATTTTTTATTGTGTTAATGAAATACATCTTAGTCTGCCACAACAATCCACGATTTGTTTAGGATGTATTACTGTGTCCCTAGTGAACTTTGGCATATCAATTTTGATCTTTCTAAAAAAAGATCTCCCTTTTACTCTATATCACCACTCCAGATATCTCAGAGATCAGCAGTCATTGTCCATATATGACATGGAGAACTGTCCTTCTAATTGCATACTGAGATGATGATGATGATGATGATGATTGACTAGACCAGTGTTTCCCAACCTGGTCCTCATGGACCCACAGCCGGTCCAGGTTTTTGCTCCCTCTGACCATCCTGCCAGACAGTCCACATTTTTGCTCCCTGCCAGCTGCCAGTAGCAAAAATGTGGACTGTCTGTGGGTCCCTGAGAACTGGATTGGGAAACACTAGACTAGACAGAATGGAGGAGGATGTCATTTGATAATTGGGAGAACATCATAGCGAATGGTAGGGCTGCATTCAAGGTAGCAAGGCCCCTGTTTTCTCACCTGTTCTCTGCAGGCTCCTCAGTCTCAGCACCACGTACTGAAATACTGATATTCAACTGTCATTTCAGCCACAAGTACTGAAATACTGAAATGCAACTGTCATTTCAGCCCCAAGACATGAAATTTGAACTTTAATAAGATCGCACCTTTATTTCCCATCTAGCAGAAAGCTTAGAGTACAAATGTAAGTCTACTTTAGACAATCCATCATGACATATTAGCTTTTCACATAAATATATTTTAAGAGTTGTACTGCTTTTTACAAGTTTTTACTCCATGCTTGGCCAAAAATATCTGTCAGCAATGCCTGAGCCCAAGAGAAAACGGCCCATTAAATGCTTTAGTCTATTTTAAAGTAAATTACAACATTACAACCCAAGTATAAATAGGAAACAGTTTTCCATACATCAAAGGACACACTCAGATTCAACTTCAAGAGAGAAAAACTACAGTTTTTACAAATCCGCTCCCCCCTAATCACAGAACAAACATTTACAGTGTACTATAGACAGTGACGCCGCCCTGCTGATGGTGAACACTAGATGGAGCTGTTCTCAAACTTCCACGCATGAATAGAACGTCCCTCAGTAGTACCCCGTATGTGCATAGTATCTCTCAGCATGACAGAGAACGTAATAACAAGAGGGTATTTAAGACAGCAGGACAAGTGCAGCATGCGAGGAAACCTCGGAAGGAAATTAGGCAGAAAAGAGCGGCGTAATGAAACTTCTGCCTTTTCATTTCACTTCCAACATGAAAAGTAGCATTTGGTTCCTTTAAATATGCCTTTAACAATAGACTTAAATAGTTTTAAGGCATGTCATTATTTTTATTTTTAAAGGATGTGTTTGCACTGTACTGCCCTACAAAGCCAAAGACAATTAACAACACTGACATGGAAAATGGGAAAAAAGGACTCCCTGCCCATATGTCTAATATGTAGGTGAATGGTAGTGTGGCTACCCAAAACCTAGCATAGTTGAACTATAAAGATATTTGTCATGAGATAAAACAGAGCCTGAGACTTGTTGTCAGTCAAAACTCAAATCTGATAAAATATGGAGTGTTTCGCCTTTGTAGGACAGTGTGCCTTTGCCAGCAGTTAACTGAACAGCAAATCAGTAACACCTGCACATGGAGTCTGTTGAGGACTTTAAATAAGAGGGACGTTCTCCATTGCTCTAGTGTAAGTTCAAGGCAAGTGCACCTATAAGAATTGAGCACACATGCACACATACACCAAAGACAAACAGGAAAAGAGGACCAGTACCATGAACTGAGGGAGCAGGACCTATATGAACAGAAGTGGTGCAGGCAGAGAGGATGGAGCAGATATATCCTTGAGTTCACACACCTGTTCTGTTCCTACTCCAGTCATACCCGAAGGAACATAATCACATATCATATAAGTTACTGAAAGGAAATTTTAAAAGTGTTCCCATTACCACATACAATATGCAGTTTGACACATTGCCCCCATTTTTAGTTGATATTAAGAATTTTTAAAATGAGTTTCATATTGAAACGATTAAGATTTATTATTAGTCCATCCTGCATTTCTTTGAAAAGGACCCATCGTTGTAATGCTGCTCTCACAAGAATCGCAATAGTGGTATTGCTTGTCTTCAATGGTTAAGACCAAAAAAACCCTATATAAAATATAGTAAAATACACATACACACAGAGACGCCTGTATGTTCAGAACATATACACATTTCCCGATATAGTCTATGTACCAAGTTGGGTTATAAGAAATGACCATTATCTGCATTTTTGCCAGAAACATTTGCAGCTGTATACATTTTGGTGTACTTGCATCTATGTCTGTGTGCAGTGGTTAGTTGTCTTTCAAATAAAATGAGTCCACGAATCTTCAATCAAATCTTCTGATATCGTTATGATGTCAACCCCCTTTTTCACTTGATAAAAACATGCATTTCTATTAAGCTCACGATCGTGTCCATTTAGAGGTTGACGGAGACATCATGGTCGGGCCGCAGAGGCTGAGGGTTTGAGCTGTTGAGTGTGTACATACACAAATGAGTATCTGAGAAAGTGTATTTCCAGTTAGAAGCCTTTAAGCAGGAAAAGGCCAATAAAGCACACGTGCCTGGGTTGTGTAGGGTTGGGAGGTGCACAGTCTGTCTTGCACACCATGCATAGGATTGAAGAGCAAACAGTCTTCAGAGGGATTCAAGGGGACAAGGCATCTGTGTGGTATTCAAAGGGGACTAAAAAGGGGCAGGTTATAGGGGAGTGTCAGCAGGGGGGACAGCTGGAAGATAAATATACACACAAGGAGATTCAGTGTGTGACCACCTCTGCGAGTCCTCTCTCTTACACACTTCTCGCTCATTGTCCCACTCTATCTCTATGTTTCTCCTTCACCATTCCACAACACTCCGTGGAGCCCGGAGTGAGAACTTGGTCTCATGGGTTCTGCGGTTCCGGCCCTTGCGGACCTCTTGAAGGTGCTTCCACTTGTTCGGTGATACCCGAGCAGCACTGGAGTGTACCACTGGTTTGCTGGGGGCAGCTCCCGTGGAGATGTGAACCTTGCTCGTCTGCCTGTTTTTGCGCATCCACACCTGCTCACAGATCTGGTCCACCGTACTGAGATTTGGATGGTCCACCAGCTGCATAAAGTCCCGGTACCACATCTTCTGGCTGACAGAGTGGCCATTGCTGGGTGCATCCAGGTTGCTAAATGGGTCGAGTGACGGAGGCAGTGAAGTGGAGGAAGACGAGGGCACCACATCCAGCGTGATGCCCAGCAGGGTCTGGCTAAAGCCGTGCTCCATGGCATGGCACTGGTAGACACCCCCATCATGCTGCAAAATGGTACGGATCAGGAGGCCCCGGTCCATTTGCAGCACACGGTCATCCAAATGTAGCTGCAAACACACATAAGACTGTTTTCATAAAAAGGCACCAATGCTGCATGAGGTCTGCTTCTTGGAAGAATGTCAGATGACAAACTGCATCAACCTTGGCTCTGCTCACCTCTTCCATGGGACTGTCTGCCAGTTTCTTGTAGGTCCAGGAGACTCGGGCTTGCAGGGACTTGGGAATGCACTCCAGGAATGTGCTGCTGCCTTCCACTCCATAAAGCTTCCTCTGAGCCACTCGATGCTTATGGTAGTCTATGGAGAGCAGAGTCTCTTTCAGAGCAGTATGTTGTTTAATGAGCTAGACTTGTAGCCAAAATACTGATGACATATTTCCCAGAATGCACTCTGAATTATAAGCCAAAGCTCCCAAGTCTTCTACAAATTTATGTTACATGCAGGCTACAGCAAGTCCTTAGATTTTTAAGTGGGAAAAACAGGGGTATTAGCTGACATCCTTCATTACCAGTCTCAATGATTTGCTGATTGGGACAAGGAGGATCAACAGCACTTCTCCATGAACTGAAGCATGGTTCCCATCAAAATGTATTTAATGAATATATTGGACTCCATTGTATCGATTCATTTGATCCTACTGAAAATGACACAAATGCAGTATTGTGTTGGCGACAGTAATGGCCAAATGAAGATTCATGAAACATTTGCTGTATTTTATGACCCCACTAGATGATGGTAGATGGTTAAAAAAAGGCTTGTTTTCCTGTTTCCTGTTCCCCCCCCCCCCAAAAAAAACCAAAAGCACCATCAAGTGGGATCAAAAAATACTATGAATGGTTCATGAAGCTTCATTTGGTCTTCACTAGGCTGAGAGAGGACATGAAGGCCAAAGCACGGGCTTTGCAAAGATGTTGAGCTACCACACGTCATGGTTAAATGTCATACCCCTAGTGGTAGAAATAGTGATGGTGCAAAATGATACTTATGAACCATTTGATGTATTTTTTGACTCCACTAGATTGTGTTGTCTGTTCAAAAAAGGGCTCAAAGCATGTCCCAAAGCAAGCCAAGAGCGCCATCTAGTGAGGTAAAAAAATACAACAAATGGTTCATGAAGCTTCATTTGCCCATCACTAGGTGGAGACCTCACCTCCAGAACACAGAGTGTTGGGATCCCCATTCCTCACATCCTGACGACGATATCGCCTGTGTGAGCAGACCACATTAAGTTCACAAAAACAAAAACAAATCATGAAGTTCAATGAATAAAATTGAAATAAAACTTAATAAGAAATTAAGTGGGTCAGAAGGTTGTACAGAAAACCAGGCAGCATACCGCTTTGTGTTGGGGAGGTAGCGGGTGCAGGAGGTACCATCCCAGGCACAGTATGGGTCCCGGGCCAAGCAGCACTCAGCACAGGCCTTGCCGTACATGCTGCAGCGATGCAGGGGCACCTGGGCCAGCCCCGTCTCTGAGCCCAAATAGAGCTGTTGCTGTTTGACCAATCAGACAGAGCGTTAGAGATCTAACAGTGCTGTGAGAAAGAGGCAGGCGCTCTAGCAAGAAAACAGAGAATTACTAAGAAGTTCGACACAACCCAGTCAATGTGTGGGGTCACAAAGCAGGCTTTGAGTTTCGCAGAAAGGAATTATTAGCACAACTGTAGAAGTGCCTTCTTAAAATTACTCAAGTGTCAATTTTCCTTGTTATGGAAGCTAATCCTTTTAATGTTCTCTGGAGTTAATGAAAATATAGGTATAGTTACCCGCTTTGAAGATATCTGCATGTTAATTATTGGTGCTGAATCCTGTAAGGAATAGGAAAACAGATCAGAACTGCGTGGACAAAAAGGCACAGGTAAGTGTTCACACGGACCCTGTCTCACCTTGAATACCTGCAGCTCCTCAAGTAGCAGCTCCTCCATGTTTTCCCAGTTCTCCTTGGGAACAGAGATCACCTTCAAGACTGTCCCCACATCTGCAGAGCACACCACACACAGCCCCTCCATGAGTTGCCCTCATTAAGGTGAAAACATGTGTTCTGTGAGTGCAGTTTATTTGCCCTGGGGGGGTTACCTGTGCCTATGAACATGACATCGTACTGGCCGTCGGCTGCAGTCACTCTATCCACAGCAATCTGGGTGAAGCTGTAGTCCATATTGGTGCGCAAGAAGACGGGCTTGCCCTTCAGTGGATACACTGGGTTGAACATGAGTGGGTGGTGCCGCGCGAATTGGATCACGACGTCCGGGAAACCCTTCGTGGACTCGAAACTGCCAAACGTCTTGCTGGGACACTGTAGGGCAGATGTACCAGGACATGGTTGCCAGACACCACGACAAAACAACTTTATACTGCTTTCAAACCCTAGGCCAAGAATTACTGCATTGCAAAGAAGTGAATGATCTTCATAATTTGACTCAAACTTTAACTATGTACTGTACTTTCACAGCTAAAAATTCACAAATGTTGTTGGTATTTTCGTGGTGAATGTCCTTACCATGCCAGGCCGTGGGTAGGGCACTTTTCCTTGGTAGGGTATCCACTGATAGTTGGGACCTTCTTTGTGGGCAAAGGGTCCCAGGAAAGCCCTTCGGATGTCATTCATGGTGTAGAGGCAAACCGCAGAGCCCTTGAAGACGCTACTGCAAAACGTTATGTAGCACAAGCATGTGATTTCAATGCATAGGGTGATATACATTTAGAATAGAGCCACCCAGGCACATCCAGGCACAGGTATATGTATATAGCACTTTAATGAAACACCTAGCAGGCCATACTAAACCAATGTGCTAGAAAACATAAACAGAGGTAATGCACACAAAGGCCTGCTCTCCTACTTATGTCGCTGCACTTCATCACATTCCTGTGACCTCTGACCTGGAAGTTGAGAAAACAGTGTAGACCAGTGGATTCTTCCTGTCCCTGGTCTGCAGTAGAAACACATCTCCTGAAGGGGAAACAGGTCACAGGTCATAGGTCAATGGCCAAAACAGGAAAACAAGCCAGCAGACTTCTCTTTTTGTTTACAAGGCTCTTGTTTATACCACAAAGTGTGGAAAAACCAGGGCCTTATGCTCAGTGGAGCCAACAAGCCCAAGATGGTTATGGTATGTCTCAGTCGTCACTGATTGGCTCTGGCTGTGACTTACGAAGTTCATCGAAGTAGGTATCGCTGCCGTCAGACCCTGGCACCGAGCAGACAAGTCTGGTCTTCAGGAATGTCGTCCACTTATTCACCAGACTGCGCTGGCCCCCCATGTCGTTCTACAGAAGAAGTCATACTATGGTCTACATCTGGTCCATGACACATTGTGTTTGTTTTTCTCTGTACCTACCGATGTAAAGCATATTATGATCAGCCCAGTGTGTATGCGGCCACTCACCCTACAGAGTTGGCCTATCCGGGAGTAAGTGGCCTTGCCCAAGCCCTGTGCCTCCACTGCCGTTTCCCGAAAGAAGAAGAAGATCTTATCATCATCTGGATTCTCACTCTCCGGCACCCAGAATGAAGAAATAAACTTTGGTTCTGGGACAAACAGACAACAAGAGGCAAAATGATTGGATCGGATATATTCCTGCAGATAACAATGTTAACATTATTCTTTCAAAGAACAGAAACTACAGGCCTATCTATAGAGTAGCAACAATCTAACAAGAGCCTAACTCTCAGAATTTACTATCTTCTACATTAGGGTATTTAGTCCTAACACTGAAGGCTCAAATGCTATTTACATTCTATTTTACAATTTTATTTACTTATTCTTTGGCAGAAACTTTTCAAAGCATTCATAAATCAGTGTAAATAAGTTGACTACCTAACAGAAAAACAACATCAATAATAAGAAAAAAAATACACAATCACCATTAAGCCAGCGGGAGTCATGCTGCTCAGTGCGGATGGATGGACGCCGGCCAAGACTCCGGAATATGGTGAAATCTCGGCCCATCAGGTCAGTAGCCACCCCTGAATACAGCTCTTCTCCTGGGAAGCGGGATGATGTTGATGAGTTTAATTGAAGACAGTGTAGTTACCACAAATGCCCACTAGGGGAAGCACTTGACTAAATTTCAATCTGACAGACCAGACTTACCTATCATGACAGAGGCTGCAGCATGCCGGTGATCGTAGGGACTCTTGCCTTTCCCGTCCTCCATCAAGGATGGGTTTATCCTAAAGACAACTTCCTGGGATGACGAGGAAGCAAGAGGAAGAAAAGAGTTTATAGAAATGGTGTAAAAAAAGGATGGAGCATTTAGCCCAAAACACAACATGCTCAACACAGCTAAGCTGAGTGATTGAGTTTATCAATTATCTAAAAGCACAATGAAGTATTTCAGCAGGGACTGGCTGTACGAAGCTTTAGGCAACCTCTTCTATTGATGTACTTCTTTCATCTACTTATAATATATGTTTAAATGGGAGCATTCATGAAAACAAAACTTTTTATTTTCAACTTTTTTAATACTCTGAGAAAAAGAAATTCTCTTAGTCTGTTGAATCAGTGCCGATATCTATAAAGTGCGTCAGAACACAGAGCTTATGTTTGTGACCATCTGTTCATTTTGCAAAACCACTCATCATTACAGAATTAAGGTGTAAACACAGGCCATGAGAAAGGGGACACCCTAGATGTTATACCAGTTCATTGCAGGGCACACAATCACACCCTATGGGTCATTTAAAGACACAAATTAGCCTAACTGCATGTTTCTGGGCTGTTAGTGGAAACCTGAATAAACACAGGGAGAACTCACAATATTGTGTAAGTGCACACGTAACAAGGACTTGCTCAACGTTCATTTGACGCCGATAAGCTGACATTCATGTCTTCCAATTTTTTTTATGAAATGCTCTGAACCCAGTTAAAATATCACTAGCATCACCTACCATTAGAAAGATTTTGGAGTCTACTTTATTGATATAAACAAATCATTAGTATCACTACCAGAGCACTGGAGCACATCAACACTGATCAAGACAAGGAACACATGAGAAAATCAAGATCATCAAATAATAATTTTTCAAGACACTAATCTGGGACATCATTATACATCGAATATCATATCACAATATGAACGTAAATTTTTTGCCTATTATTGCTGCTTCTAGTGTGTGTGTTGTTCACTCTCACCAGAGTTCAATGAACGTCGTCCCTTTAGTGTGTTCATTGCCAATTCTGGATACAGTATGACCCACTAAGCCACTGTGCCAGTGTGTGAACCATGGAAGTCAAAGTCAGCCTTCGGTGGTCATAATTTGGGCTTCAAAAAGAAATACTTCAGGGAGAAATATTGTTAAGTGATTATGATGATCTATGTAGTTTTGTGCAAAAATGAAATCCCTTCAATTGAGACAGACTTTCTCCAAATCATCAGGCACATCGATTCTGTTCCTGACATCACAAAAATCAGATGACACGGATGACAAGTGGCTAGCAGGGTGGCAAAATTAGGTACAGCTTGAGGAGTGGAGCAGTCACTCACCTCCATCTTCTGCCCGACCTCCACGAAGGCGCAGGTGGGATGGAAGGCACCAGTGCCGCAGGCATAGAGGTGTGTACGATTGTAGTGATGTAGAAGCTTCACATAGTTCACACAGTCCACCTGCGAGGCACAAGCACAGCAGCACATGGGACTTATCATGAGTCAGTAGATATTTATGGAAATGTACACATCCCCACAGCAGGGGCAAATGGGTTTTTTTCTGGGGCACGGAGGGAGGGTTACAAGCAAAATCCCTGTGAAATACCATGGCAACACAAAACACTCCCAACTTTGTCAACACTGAGAACAAGATGCTTAACTTCCTCTGAAATTCCGACTTAAAGAATAACCAGTACTGCAGACACTCATGGGATATTTTTAGCAAGTGTTGTCCAGTATAGAGCACAGTATCTTCTGAAGAAGATAAAAGAGCATGATTTCACATACTGGTGCAAACAGTTTCTGACTCACCTGTACATATTCCACTCCTCAAACATGGGAGTGGGCACCACTGGCACAATGACATTTATGTTAAAGATTGATAGAAAGGGCATGACAAAAAGTCACACAAATGATGTAAGCAAGAGGAGCCATTGTCTAGACATAATGAACACAGAGTAAACATGCCCCTACTCTTTCTCCTCAAGATACCAACAGTACGAAGATGTTACAGAGGTGTGGCTCAGCTTCCACCAACTGTTACCAGCTCTTATACTGTAATTATAATGCTCTGCCAAACTCCTGCACTAAACCCCCACCCCACTGAAGAGGATAATTTGTTATAGCGTCTGGAATTACCAGAGAAACCAGCTACTACGTGCTAGCATCTGTCTGAAGTGGATCGAGTTTCACTCTGCGAGGTATCTGTGGAGTGGGGAGTGTCAAGACCCCTGGACAGCGAGCTCAAAAAGGCTCACATGTACCCTTCGAATACATTGGCTTGTCTGTCTGTCTGTTTGTCCATCTGTCCAATTCCTGCTCCTGTCCATGGATAACGATCATTCAAAACGTGTGTCTGACTGCCCAGCTGTTCCTGTAGGCAGTAAATTAGTCCTTTGTGACAGGCTAAATTACGGCTCCCCTGGGTAGTCCCTGCAGGCCCCCTCGGAAGTCCCGCTGTTGTTTTTCCGGACCGCACCCTCTGTTGTCTCTTTTGGTGTCACCGGCCACTCCTGGCCACTGTAGGTTCCACCTCATTACCTCAGACACACAAAGCTTAACCTGAGAACAAAGGACCCCACGCAGCACGCCTCTTTGAAAGCTAATGGGAGGATTCATCTACATGCCAATTAAGCCATTGACAAACTGACCATGTTTGTTCGGGAGGGGGGGGCACCCGCTGCCCACCTCCCCTTGACCCTATGAAGGGTCTCTGTTGTGTTGGCATTCTGACTTTCATTTAGAGAAGGGGCATGGGAGGGTTAAACAGAATGAAGCTGCTGTCAGAATCAGACCCCTTTGAAGCATTAGCTTCAACAAAGGAGGTAAGCAGAAGGAGGAGACGACAAAAGGGCTCGTAAAGTGAGGCACTGCTCAAAGCCATGTGTCAAAGATCAGTCTTTTTCCCTGTGCCTTTTCAATGATTGTGCCTGTAACAATGCCAAGGGTCTTCCAAGGGGGTGAGATGGATGGGTGGATTTGTATTATGCCATTAATTTAATGCTCTCTGAAAGACCACATGCAGGCTGTGGTTCTGGGGATGTTGGCCTTATTCAGAGGTGAACCAGTGCTAACTGTACTGTGTCTCAACAGTACCTCCTTGCAGAAACATTTCTTTACTAGTTCAGACAGGGTCTGTCAACCCATTGGGCAATAGAGGTGGCCACCTACGGTGCTGTCTTCTGAGGGGTCGTCAGCTTAGCAAACCACCAGCACCAAAGCCACCCACCTGGTGTGAGGAGCATGTAGACCAAGACTAAGTGAAACTGGCTGGTGGGGTGGCAGTGAAGCTTGCCTACAGCTCCACTTGGGCTTCGACTGGTACTGAGTCCAGATATTTATTAATGAAGGCTTTGAAAAAAGTCAGAATTTCATCAGCCTTAAACCATAACTCAGTGAGTCCTACCTCAAGATAACTGCTTAAGCCATATCCCTCACAGTCTAATCAGCTAACAGTGTATCATCTTCTAATTCTAGTTAGCTCACAGAATAGCATTTCCATAATCTAAATGTGTCACATTGATACTAGTTCCTTCTGCATCGCCTTGACTCGGGTTTGCATACATAGTACCTTCCCAGCAGTCCAAACACCTCATTATATTGCCCCTCACAGTAGATCCTAGGTCTTTAGTGCTGGCATTTGCGGGCTGCAGGTTTTCATTCCACTAAAGCATATAAACTCTGTATAGAGACACACACACACTCTGGATGTTCATCCTGCCTTTGTCACAGTATAAATTCCACTACAGTACCCTTAGGTCTCCACTCTCCCACACAAAGAAGCTTGGTTTCCATTTACGCTATTGATATAGTTATCCCTTGTAATTTACATGTGAATGTACTCTGTTCCCACACACTAAGGGCAGAATGATGTCTAAAGTCCAAGCCTCAGGATTTCCTATTCTTCCTTTATATGTTAAAAATAATGTATAAGTGCATAAATGTATAAGTGCATAAACAACAATAATAATCATCATTATCATGTTATTTGATCTTCTTTAGTCTTTTGTTTGAAAATACAGCTACTGCATCTAACAAATTTCCCTGTCCAATTTTGTAAGACATAAAATTTACTTATTGGGAAATAAAGCCTGACTTGTTGGATTGAGTGTGACTGTAAGGCGTGGTGGGACACAGACATTATGGTTTGTATCGCCTGTTTCACTGCAACACACCACAGCACAATGCAATTTATAGGTGGCCCAGCCCTTTGGCACGCCAATGAATGCAGCAATTATGGTCAAGAGATGGGTCATTTCACTCTGTAGAGGAAGGGGCTTCTGCTTCTGTGTGTGTGTGTGTGTGTGTGTGTGTGTGTGTGTGTGTATGAAGGGGGTGTTAAAGGAAACATTTTGAAGAGGCTCCTGGACCTCACAGTCAGCTGGCCAAGGCTGTGGCCCATTCTGTATGGACAAGGCCATACAGGATGTGTGTACATTAGTTTTCTGCACAGAAATAAAGAGGTATAAACATGTGCAGATGGATATAGGGGTATAATTGTAATAAGAAATTTTGGAGACACTTCTGCAGGACTTACAGAGGAGTTTTTGTCATATAAACATGAACTGTAAGGTTCTACCTGTTGTGGGAGGGCACTGTTATGCCCTGGTGTGTGTCAAGGCTGTATATCACTGACCAGGGATGTGGGGGGGGCAGCTAGGTCAGGAGGGGGCCCTGTCTGTGTGCCGGCGGGGGGGGGGGGGGAGGGGAGGGTGGACACGCAGCACTGGGCAGCTCTGTGCCACCTATCAAACCCAAAATCGAACCCTGGACAGGAAGGCCCTGGCAGCATGATACCACACAGCCAAAGCACGACACATCCCACAACACATCCCATGACACATCCCACCGGACCAGCTCTCCAAGGCCTCGCTGGCACAGCGCACTCAGGGGACCTGTCACTCTGTACACAAGAGGCTCCGGCAGGAATTAGACATGCCCAGTCTTTTCAGAGCACGCTATAAAATAACCTGATCAGGTTACCACAAGAGGGAGGCTTTTGTCGCTGTACAGCGGGGGGGACCAAGCTGTCACCTCCTCCAGAGACCATCTGAGACTCTTGGAGGTCAGCTTAGTCACGGTGCCGGTGGTGCCACCTAGGCTGTGAGACTTCCAGTGGAATTTTTTCGCTCTGGTTGGGGCTCTGAGTCTTTAGGAGAACATCTGCGCCATGCGACCCCTGGTCAGCCTCTAATGAGCCTTAATGTCCATGTGGGAGCAGCTAATTGATTCTGATATAAGAGCACACTAGGCTCTCTGATTGACTACTGCTGTCCACTGGGGCCGTGTCCCACAAGAGGTGACTAAAAGCCTGTATCGGGTTCCAGAGCTGCTGGATCTTATGACTAGAGGTGAGGCAGTGGGAACACGGTCATTGGCAGCAGCATTCATCTTTGGCAGCAGATTCAGACAACGATTTGCCATTGAAACTGCCACTCTATGCTCTTCTTGGCTTTATAACGTAGAAAGGCCAAACAAACCACAGCAGAGGCCCAGGAAACTGAAAGTGATAATGTTTCAATTGTGTCTGTATATGTGAAAACAAACAGATCGTAACTTACAAACTGACAGTTATGATCTCATGCTGGGATACAGTCTCATACGAAGAGGGGCAGCTCAAAAAACAACAGTTCCTTTCTGTTACTGCAGCTGGCTTGGAGTAACATCCTGCGGAGGAGTCCCAGCCCTCAAAACCTCTGAAACCTTTCAGTCCAGATGTACGATACTGTGTGAGCCCCACCATGCCTACATACATATGATACAGATTCTCAGGTGAAACAGGAAGCAGAGCTTCATGATGAATGGAGGCCGTTGTGTGCCTTCCCCAGCTGTACAGCCTGGTTGATGAGGAACTGGTGTGTGTGTGTGTGTGTGTGTGCGTCGTCTCTCAGACCGTTCCCCCTATCCCTGATTCCAGTCCGCCCCCTGGACATACATGGTTGCACACAGAGAGTTAAAACCCACCAGTCACTCAGCTACCTGGGAGGGGCCGTATCCTCAAAATCAAAGGCACTCAACTCTGAGTGGGTGGTCTTTTTGGCCCTGGAAACCGTCAGTATGGTGCAAGGCAGGACAACAGCTAGGGACGTGGGGAACTCAGCTCTAGTCCTGGCTGTGCCCAGATGCACTCGAACAAGAGGGGAGGGAAAGACCTGCTGATATGAATCAGGAGTAGGTTGTGTACATCCAGGAGGGTTAGCCTACAGCTACTCATTTTGGCTGCTTTCAGACAGTGACAGGCAGGTGCTCAATAAAAGAACAGGGAGCTGCATGGTCAAGCACGTCGGCACAAAGTCTGGGCCCTAAATCTGCAGGTAGGTACTCACGTTAATATCCTTCCCTGCCCAGTTGCACTCCTCTCTCCAGTCCACCGGGGCTGGCCAGTAGATCTGCAAGGAGGTGAAAAGAAGCTGAAAGATCTGCAGGAAGTGCAGGGCAGAGGAATGACATGGGCCTTGACCTCACAGGATCAGACTTGCCAAGCTGTAGGGACATATTGTCCGACATACTGCTGAGGAGCAGAGGAATCTTCACGTGCCACAGTAAACCCATAAAACTTTCAGAGGCAACACTACCTCTAATAAAAACAATATAAATGACTGGGAACAAGCCACCAATCACATTTCATGCCTGTTATAAATCAAAACCAATTGAACTAAAACCAACACTCCAACGACCTACTGCCAAAAAAATAATTTGTCACAGTGACTCACCAGGAAGAATAAGAAGGAATGCAGGAAAGAAAATATATATTTAAAAAAATCTAACCTGGCTGCCATATGAAGGGGAAGGATACCATAATAATTTTCAAAATTTGAATATATTAACTAATTGATGCAGGAAAATACATAAACAATCAACATTTAAAGAACTGACGAATAGTACAAGACTTTACTTATTCATTATTCTGGATATTACTATGAACAGGTTGCCATTTTAAGGGTTTTGGAGATTTATTTTGGCAGTTAATAATTTGTATCAAGTTGTGGGTCAAGTATTTTTAAACAGCTGCTGATCCACTCATACTCACCCACATGCATTTACATGTGGGTTTTATTATCTTGTAAACAGTCTGTATGGTTTGCAAACTACCCATCACTGTTGATGTAGCTAATTCAGATATAATGTAATTACACAGATTTGTCATAAGTTTTCTTCCATGAGAGTCTGAAGGGACCTGGTAACCCCGCACTAAGGTATCTACATGGGAGCTGGTAACCCCGCACTAAGGTATCTACATGGGAGCTGGTAACCCCG